TGAAATGGAGTAAATCTACCTTTCTATCATTACCCTTTCTCTCCACCTCCCTGATGATGACCAGGAGGGCCATGAAGATGATCAGGGGGCTCCCTTATGAGGACAGGCTGAGAGAGCTGGGGCTCTTCAGCCGGGAGAAGGTGCTGAAGACACCTCTTGGTGGCCTTCCAGTACCTGAAGGGGGCTTACAAGAAAGCTGGGGAGCAACTTTTCATAAGGGCATGTAGTGACAGGACAAGGGGAAATGGTTTTAAACTGGAAGAGAGTAGACTTAGACTACATATTAGGAAGAAATTCTTTACTTTGAGGGTGGTGAGATACTGGAACAGGTTGCCCAGCAAGATTGTGGGTGCCTTCTTCCTGGAGGCATTCGAAACCAGTCTGGATGAGGTTTTGAGCAACCTGGTCTAGTGGGAGGTGTCTCTGCCTATAGCAGGGGTGTTGGAACTAGACAATCTTAAAGGTCCCTTCCAACACAAACCATTCCATGATTCTATGAAGATTCTTTGTCAAGTTGGCTGTTTGATCTGATAGTCTTGCTCAATGAGTATATGATGCAGGTAGCGCTTTAGGGGATGTCTGGATAAGATGGTGCATGAGACAGAAACACTGAATAGAGTAAAACAGATCCTTAGTATTTTTCAGTTGTAGAATGTCACCTTCCATGCCTTGCAGTCTTTCCTTCAGTGAGCCTCTGAGGATTGATGAGAAGAGAATGAGTGGTGGAACAGGAGGGAAAAGTAAGAGCCCCATAGAGCACATGAAGAAGATCTATAAATAGTGCACAGAGCTCTCCATTGGCATGCAAGCATTGCCTTCTACTACCTCAGACATTTTGACGCATTAATTTATTCTCTTCCTTGGTTTAAGAGGGGGAAGGGCTGATTCTCACCTGTTCGAATATTTCCAGTTACTTGTAGAAAACACCTATCTATAACAGATGAATCAGTAGTAGTGTAAGAAAAGCCTTTTACAGCTCCTGCGCCAGCCAGTGTTTGTACATGTTTCACATTACAGCTGCCAGTGTTAACCCTCACTCCAGAGTGGGAAGCACTAGCTGTGCCCTCCTGTGCTCTAGGTTTATCTGGCTAATGGCAGCAGCAGCAGCAATACAATGACCCACTTAGAATGACATGTTTGGGCTACTCGTGCTGCCGTCTACAGCATTGGTTTGTGCTTACCTGTCTCAGTGGCAAGGGAAAATCTTGATGCAGGTTTAATTACCCTATTACACATGTGCGTGACGTTTGTAGAAAGTTTTGAAATGAACTAAAATGGAGTAGGGGCCAAAGAAGTATTAAAGGGCCCAGTAGTTAAATAGAAAGCTACTATTCAAATTGGCTAGAGCTAGAGTGAGGCATGTGGAGTGGGCACAAGGGAATACAGGACCCCCTCATAGAGTGAGATGGGAGCTTGTGACAGAAGTTTCTTCTCCTGTGTGCAACTGTCTGGTAACCATCTTGACTGGAAACAGAATTACGTTATTCTTGGGGTATTCTAAAAATTGATTTTTTCCCTGGTGGATGGAAAATGTAGGAGGATTACTGTGCTATGCATGTACGTGGGTGCAAAATAACAGCCTCAGCATTTATTTGTGTTGGCAGCAAGAAATGTAAATGGTTGAAGCTGGAGTATCTGTTCTGAAGATAAACCTAGCAACGCATTTCTGGTTGTCAGACAACACTTGTTTTTTCCCTTTGGAGTCGTTTGTGATGTAATGCCACTGTGCAGTGGAATCCTCTGCACCAGATCTGCAATTAGACGTGACGTCACTGCTGCAGCTGCTTAGTGGGATAGCTCTTTCAGTATGAAGGCTTTCTGCTAGATTAAATAGTGTGTTAGTACGTTGCTCCTCAACGACTCCCAAATATAATACTAGATGGCAAAATTCTGTAACAGTTTACACATGGGACTCACATCAAAGCAAATGAAACAGGAGTTGGGAGTTATGGATTCAGAACTGCTAAGGAAGTAAGGTGCAAAGTGTTACCAACCAGCAGGATGAAAACAAAAACTGTACCTGCTGTATTGTTCAAGCTCTTCGCTGGTTTTGTCACTGCATGTTAACCTGGAAACTTCTGTTAGTCTTTCCTTGTCTTAGAGTGGCAAAAATACGTGAATAAGAGCCTGTATGTCACCAGCATCACTTTATTTGACCTAAGCAGTATCTGAGTCAGGGATGTGCAAGCAGAAATTCATTTTTCTCTTTCCCTTTCAGTGAATTGTATCATATTCTTGGTAGATAAATATTTCAAAAGAATGCATTAATGAGAATAACAGATCCTATGGAGCAATTTTGGCTAGGAGTTTAAAACTTAGCTCGTGTGGCACTGGGGGTAGACAAAACAAAAAAAGCACTCTTTGCATCCAGTCAAATAGCTGTGTGGTATTGGTTATCTGAGGAGTTGCAGAAGAAAGCCTAAAGCCATCCCCTGCTTACTTGGAACAGACAAGGTACCTCTTTCTACATGTTGGACTGGGAACTTCCAGGCTCTGTAAGATGGGTGGATTCAGGTTTGTGTCTGATTGGTCCTTACTGAGTATAACAAGAGATTATGCTGTGTAAACAAATCAGAAAAGGCCAGTAGTTCAATTTTTAATGTGCTGTTGCAACTGTGGTGGTGTGTACAATTTGACTTCAAGTGAATGTGTCAGCTAGACCCTAGAAAAGGGTACCTACTATCAGCTGTGCTGTGCAGTGGGAGCAGCTGAAGAAGTGTGTTCTGGGCTCTGCCCACACTCATACTGCTTGATGTGATTAAAAACCATCCCAGATCAGACATCCAGTTGCTTCAGTGTTTCTCTCTTTTGCGGTCTTTTTTTCAAACTAAGGTAGAAAATGTATGAACAATACGATCCTTAAAGCAAATTCAGAATCTATTGACTTCAGTGGAGTTTGCTGTTAACTGAAGCAAAGCCAGGGTTTCCCTTACAGCATTTATAGTTACATGGTACAATGACCTGAGGTCTTTCTAGAGCTGCTTACTTCATAATTCTAGCTTCCCATTAGCTCGTGTGTTGCTTTTTGGAATCTACAGGAAGCACCCTGTGTTCCTGCCACAGTTGTGTATAGCAGCAGCTAAAAGGCAGCTGGTAAATACCGGGCATTGCAGAATGACAACGTACTTGGCTTTGGCACGGGCAACAGAATGTTAAAACTGCTGGGGTGACCCTTAGCTTTGGGATATAGTGTTACCTTGAAAAGCTCATGTTTCAGTGTCCCTGGTTGGTTGGTGTTTTGTGGAGTTGCTTGGTTTTGTTTTGTAGTGGCCTTTGTCTCCCATGCAGGTGATGGACAGCAGGCGGATAGCTTGCCAAAAGGTAGGCAGCAGAATCTGCTGCTGTTTGGGGAAGCTCTGGTTGCATGACTTTTTGATCTGTGATGCAGTGCAGCTGTGCAATGAACTTAGTTTCAGGAACGCTCTAGCAGACTTTTCTCAGCCTGCCAGTATAGCTATCATGTGATAGCATTAAAAGAAAATCCTAATAGAAGTTAAGATCCATGCTACATACCTCAGTAAAATTAAGGAGAATTGGTTTGCTATACCATTTTCTAGAAAAATCTGAGGTCCTTTCTAGAAAAAAATCCTAGATGTTAAACTGACTGACATAAAATTTTACAGGTCTCTCTTCTCAATTTATCTCTAGTTCTGGTTAGAGATATAGCACCTTCCAGTTCTGTGCATTACCCTCCATGAATTTACAGGGGAGTATATCAGAATTTTACAAGAAAGCTCAAAAAGTCCTTTGGTCTGTTACTTAAATAGTGTAGGAGGAATTTCAACAGACCTTGCTTATTCCAGTATATTTTGTTTACCTGGACAGAACTTGCACCTCCGTGTTGTCCTTTAATTTTACATTTCTGGTCACCTTGCAACACTTTTTGACTAAACCACAGACACTACAGTTTTTCTTTTCTTTTCTTGGTGTCAGTTACTTGCAATTCTTATTATGATCTATCCTTACACTTTTTTAATTCCCTCTTGCAATTAGCAAAGAGAATTCAGATGCACAGAATCACCCAGCCAACAGACAGAAGGGCAAACCACACAACATGTGCTTGTATACTCAGCCATTAGTTTATAGAGCAAGAGACGTGTGGTGGGTTTAAGCTAACTTAGTGCTGTAAGGGCATGTTTACCTCAGAGACAGCACTGCTGCCTAAATTAGGCCTTGTCCAAATTGAAATCACTCCCAGCAGAATCTGTTTATGCTGACAAAGGAGCTCATTTGCTGGCATTTTAACAGCCCAGCTATTGTAAAGACAAAGCTGTGCAAGTCAGAAGTAGATTATTTGTGCCAGAATGCGGCACTCTTCAGCAGTAAGAGTGCAGAACAGCACATCTGGAAGGTGTCATCCTGGCAGTGGAGGCCAGCGAGGGCTGGAGGAGCAGGACCAGGGAGCCCGGAGGCACCAGGAGTAACCACACAGGGAAAGAAGGCTGCTGCCTGTATGCTCTGCTTCCTGTGGGTTTGGGTATTGTTTGAACAGCAAGCTGCTCTTTGCCAGGCAGAGGCATTAACAGGATGTAACTCAGAGCTTCAGGCAGAGTCCCAAGCATAAGATGCTCTCTCCCAAGCCTGTATTTTCCTTAAGTCTTAATTCTAAGCTTGCTTCTCTTGTTTTCCTTTTGCTAAGGAAAGAATTAGGGTGTGGAACTTCTGTGAGATACAAAGGGCTTCAGTAATGTACTTTATCTCTGTGCTTCAGGAGCAAAGGCCAGCTCTGGTAACAGAAAAATTACCTTGCATTAGCAGTCAGTGCAGAAAGCCCAGGAGTTCCTTTTGGATTCAGGAGTTATAGGGGTGACACTGAAGTGGATGAATTGACAACTGCGTTGACAATGCTGGTTGTCCATATTGCAACCTATGTGTGCTCAGTGGTAGTAGAAAATCTCTGTAAAGGCAACACTGATTGTACTTGCATGTAAAAGCCTAAAGAGCTTTGTAGCACTTGAGTATCTGTTACATGTATTTGAGAAATGACGGGGAAACACTTGTGTACTCCAAGCAAAATTTATTAGAAGTCTATTCAAGAAAAAAACACAGAGACCTTTTGCTTGTAGGAATTCAAAGTCAATTACCTGAAAGCCAGGTATGAAAAACCTGTATTTTTCTAAAATCAGATACAGAGTAGAAACAGTACTTTTTAAATATCACAGGCAACAGATATTTAAGTCTTCAATCATAAATGGCATCAAAGATAGGAATTAATCTCACAGCAAAGCTGCATGCAGATCTAGTTTAAAATTGAAAGCCTTTGAAATATAAAGCTTTTGCCATTAAATCTGCAATAATAAAGGTATGCTGCACAAAGATGTTTCTTTACCTTCGTCTTAATGACATTTCTCAGTAATAAAGACATATGTACATTTAGATTTGGCTGGTAAACCATATTTTAATTAATAAAATTTTGCATAAAATGCTATCTTACAGAATTGCACTATTTGGATGTGCTTATGGTAAATAGAGAAAGTAAAGCAAAATGCATTGAAATGTTCTGTATGTAAAGAGGGTGAAGATCAAATAAGAAACTTGATTTTTTTTTCTTTTAAATCGACAACCAAATGGCTCTGTACAAAAAAGCAAACATATGTACAAAATGCTACAGAGGCTAAATACATGTTGATAATTTCAGTCCTTTACCCATGAGAAATGCAGTAGAAGCTTTTGCCATCTATAAGGTGCCAAAGAAAACAAATCTGACTTGGAAAAAAAAAAATCTTTTTTTTTTTTTTTTTTTTCATGAAGTCGTAGTCATTATCATCCTGTGCCTTAATTTAGTATGCTATTTATGCTTATGGTTGCGTATGGAGAATATCTGTTTTCAAATACTTGATTCATTCAGGAAAAAAAAAGACCAACAACAGCCCAAACCCTCTCAAACGTATTGATTTTAATACTTGTGATTTTTTTTTTTAATGTACTAAATTCCTAAAAAAAAAAAAAAAAGTGTAACTCAGATTTTGTTAACATACATGTGTATATATATACGTGTGTGTGTATAGTGAAATAAATCAGTACATGATACTTGTGAATGTTTTTCAAGTGGCTATGTTAGAGGAAAAACAATCCTTTGCACTAACACTGTTTACTTGCTGCTTCTTAAAATGCCTGTGGTACATAAAAACACTAACCTCTCAGATTTCATGCTGCTGACTATTACAACATTTTGATTACAACCATTTAATGTCATATGATCAGCAGGTTGTTATTGTCTGTCCTTATATCACTGTCTGTCTCTTCTTTAAATCCTGTTTCCTGAGGTTTTACACCTCTTGCACTTCTTACCTTTGAAGAGAAAACGCTGCAGCTTTAATAGGGAAAAAAGGGTTTAGCAAATACCATTGCACCATCAGAACACTTGCAGTTCTTCCATTTTTCACTACACTTGCTTGAGATTTTACAGTCACTGTGCATAAGTTACAACATACAAGTGCAGGCAAAAAACCTATATTATAATTTGTCATTGTAAACCAGTACAATAGGCAAACCTGTGATACAGCAAAGTGAAAGCAACAGATGCTGCCAAGCTAATAAGAATATGAAAACTCAAAACACCTTTTTTTTTTTTTTTTTTTTTTTTTTTTTCTCTTCTTAAATAGTAAGCAGCAACTTTCCCTCTGTTATACATGCGTGCTGAAAAATTTTGTTTTCCCATCGCACTTCATGATAGTACCACAAATGTCCCAAACAGGAAGGCTTTCTCCCTCTCCTTACACCCCCCACCACCGTAGCAATTATTCTGGGTACCTCTCATCAGGCTTTTCCTATCGTGTTTCAAATAAAAAGAGTTAAAAGCAGGGAGTACTTATAGGTAGGGAGGATTCCTCTTGTTTCAGAAAAGCTTAGTTATTCACACGGTAGTCGTTGCTGTAATACTGCTGGGACGGTTTGGCAGATGGGATGGGATGAGGATGAACTGGATGGCCTCTATTTGAGACTGCAAGCGAGAAAACAGAAGGCCAGCGTAGCATGTTTTCTAGCAGCTTTATGCAGATATGTTGCAGAGATGCAGCATAAATAAGAATGAAAAAAATTCACAGCCTCTTGACATAGTTTCCAGGGAAAGTACCAAAGAATTTGGTTCTTCTTGAAGTTCCTGAAATTAGAAGCAATAGATGAAAGAAGGCAATAATAACAGGAAAATCTCTATGTAAGCATGTCCTTGAATTTTTTTTAAAATATTTTACAAATGTATCTACTGTTCTTTACATTAAATTAAGTGAATTTTGTATTTCATTTGCGAGTTGTGAATTTTAACAAATTATATCTGCAGGAAGGAAAAAGCAAATATAGGCATATCTGATTGAATTATATAGCTCAGTTGAAATCTCTGCTAAATCTAATGTGCTGAAATTTTGACTTGGTGCATAGAAATCATTTAGTTTTAACAGCATCATTTGTTTGTAGTTAACTAATTTGGATTTTTGAAATGCTAAGGATTAATAAGATGATAAAGAATTTAGCCACTGTGTGCATGAATGTTTATGTAATGATTTAGCCACCTTATTTAGACCTAAGCATCTGTTTGTTCAGTAATACTCAGTTTTCACAAATAGTCAGTTCTGTAGCAGTACTCATGTAAGTTTTTATGAGGAGCAATACACAGTCCACTCTGTGTCACTGTGAGAATGATAATAATGCTGTACAACAAATTAGAAGCATGTGTCAATTCCCAACTGCAGAAGTGAATGATCACCCATTAACTTCACAGGATTTTGGTGGGGATTTCCCCTGGTAAAACCAGGTTCAGGTGTATTACAATGAATGCCAAAGATTAATTAGTTTGTAAGACACCAAACAAACAGGGCAGCAGAGGTCAGGAATAAAGAATATATGAAAAAGCAACCATTTAAAACATACCCACAAACCATCCATCATCACATTTTTCCATCACATCAATGACATCACCCTCTCTGAGCTCCAATTCATCTTCGTTCCTAGGAGTATAGTTATATAGAGCCTGAAACCTTAAATAGGACAAATGTTGCATTTTAAAAAGAAGAAAGAGTTCTTTGCATTGTCATTAAAGAAGCTGTTTTAAACATTAACTCGTAAGTAAAGCTCCCTTCAAGCATAAGAAAGGGGTAAAAGGATTTGTTTTGCTTGGTGGAAGATATCAAGGCTAGTACCCAACTTTATCCAAAAGAATGGGGCAGTGAAGACTGAGGCTACAAGGCAAGCCTGATGGCACAGTGTTGTTTAAAACACGATTCTGTTTAAATATTTTATAGCTGAGTCACCAAAGTAGAGAATGTAATTTCTTAGAGGGAAGCTGTAGCCTGCACTAGCCTCTTAACCCCCATGAGCAGCATTGAAGACCATGCTTTTTGCTTTGCTGATCCTGCTGTCCTTACACTGCCATGGCAGAGCCAATGCATACCATACAAACACGGCCCCTGCTGTGTGATGTGGTGTGGATGCTGAGGAGGGCAGCTCACACGTACTGCCTCTGAAAGTGGGGACTGACCTGGGCTGCTTGTTAGCACCTACTAGAGGAGGGCTGGCACCTGGGAGCTCTGCACTTAGAAAGGTGGCTTACCTCTGTGGGAAGGAGGGCAGTAATTGCTATGTGGAAATAGCTATAACCCTTTCAATTCTTAAAACTGCCCCTGCTACATCAGTCCCTTGTTATTCACAAGTCATCACTGCTGGGGTGGGTTTTTAAAGTTGTCCTTCTATGCATTAGCTAAGTGGCAAGCAACTCCAAGAAGCAAGGGTGACCATAAATAAAACCTGAGGCAGTGGCCTGCACCTGGAGTACTGAGAAGGAGCAGCTGTTGGGTTCAGGCCTCTCCTCAGACAGCTGCCCCTTGCTGGTGGGACAGCCTTTGTTAGCCTGGAGTTTTCCTCTGTTGTGTAACTGTAGGAAGAGGGCAAAATGAGACCCAGCTATCTACAGGGCTGAAATAGGTGGTTTTACAAATTGTTTCTGTCGTAAAGGAAGAGGAGATAGGCTGGCAAAAATGTGTGAAAGGGAGAAAATATTTTAAAGAGAGCCTGAGAGAAAGATTTGCAGAGGTAGTGAAGGGGGAAAGAGACAAATTGAGCTGGTAAAATGAAAAAGAATAAGTTCCAAAGTGGAACACCTCATAAGAGGTAGACCACAAGTTAGTATACGCAGTTATACCTCTTGCCTTGAATGTGCCTGTCACAGCAGCCTCAGAGATGAACAGGGAATAAAACAGATAAAGTTGAGAGAAAAAGAAGGCACAAAAAACTGTGCACAGTGACTCCCTTCAGAAGAAGGAAGCTAAAAGGAAGGTGTAGACTAGGGCAGTCACATGTGAAAGAGGGTGAAGTATTCCAGCTCTGTCATCTTAGTCATATCTAGCTAATCCATTTTCATAACTCTTTTTGTAGTCATTTAATTCCCTTTTTGATCATTTTACTTAGAATTCCTTTTGTTAGGAAATTCTTAAATAGGAAAGACTACTAAAACTTCTAACACTGACAAAATGCATATTCAAGACAATATATGGTTGACAATTTAAATATATATATATATTTTTAGGATGGAGTAGTTTTAGTCATGCACTACTAAAACTCACTGAAGAACGTTATTTAGATAATTATTGCTTACAAAACAGGTAGGTGCTTCAGTATGCTTAGCCGTCCCACCAACAGCTTGAGGAAAAAATGAGAGATTAAAAGCAAAACGTCCAATTTTTATTATATATTGTTTGTGGTCCAGTTATCATTTGATAACTGCTCCTTTCTTTTCTTTTGCTGTTTCTTCAGCTGAAGCTGTTGAACATTTTTAGATGCTAAGCCCTAATTGCATGCAGGAGAATTCACCTAGCTCCAAAGCTCTCTGATGCTAGAGGAAAAAAATAAGAAATTGAAACAATCTTGCACTGAATTTGCATTTTAATAGCACCAGAACAACCTTACAAGTTTCATTCTGATTGCTTGCATTGTAAAAATACAACTTGAAACCTAGGGTCTTCTCCAGTTCTTCAAAAAGCTTTTTTGTATCTAATTTTTAAATTGCACATGTAAATTACACAAAAGTGTTTCTGTGTTCTCATGATTAATGTTATCAATTCACATTCAGAATGGTTTCTGGCTAATTTGCATTGTAAGAAGAGTTGAATTAATGTAAAGACTTTAATTTGTGTTCTGCTAAGTTAGAACAGTGGAGACAATAAGAATAATTCTGAAAAAAAAAAAAAGTCAAACCTTACAAAATTATTGTCCCTTTGTAGTATAAACGATGAAGAACATTAAGTTGGCAAGTGTGAGTTTGATGTATGATTACATCAAACATTAAATTATATGTCTGAAACTTTGTCCTGTGGGACTATGTTGGATATCTTCCTACATCATGTGGTTATCTGTAAATTTACGAAATCTCTTCATGGTTGTACTTGGCAGGTCAACAAATTATTTGAGAATGTGCTGGCTGTTGCTTAAATGTTAGGTTTGCTTTAGTAGACAAGAAGTATACTTACGGTTCCCCCCCACTGTGTATGTTTTCATGAGCAAGCACAGGGCGCTGTGGCTGAAATGAAATGATTTGAAATGTAATAAGGGTTTATAGTCTAAGATCCAAGTAGTTGGATAGGCGCATGATGCATAGTTGCTTAAGCTTTCGTATTCTACTTTGCTTAAAACAACCCTCCCCACACACTCAACCTCACAATAAATTCTTAAGAGACGTGGCAAGTAATAGTCTTGGTGGGCTTAGAAATCTGATTTTTTTTGAAGAGGACAAGATAAAAACTAAAACAAAACTTAATTTTATCAACAGTCTGTTTATGGCATAGTAGAAAGTTGGAACAGAATGGAATGGATGTTTGCTGCATCATCGCAGTGAAACAAAAATAGCATTAGAAAAATTAGATGCAAGTGATGAACTTATACATTACTTGAAGTATATTTTTAGTTAAGTGAAACAAAACCTCGTATACTTAATTGCAGAATTTAGACCATCCATACACAAAAGAACAATCCAATTTACATTACACACAGTAATAACTTGGCAGGCATAACATGCTATGCTTTAATTCCGTTCCAGCTCAAGGGGCAACACAAAGCCATGCAGGCTGTTGGGAGACCAAGAACACTAAGAATTTTTGAAAGACTGTATGTAATTGTTTGAAAATAACAACACTTCTACTTTAAGATGGAAAAAAAAAATGTATTTCCAGTGCAAATTTTTAAAAGAATTATTTTTTGTGTTAAATCTCACACCACTAATGTCCAATAAAGCTGCAAATGATGTAAATGAAAGATATTAATCCCCCAGTGGAAACCTGCTCAGGGAGATAATGACTTAACAAATTACAGCGTAGCCCTGGCCAGAAAGAGTGCAGGAGCAGCTGCTTGGAAGAGTGTTGATATGAGCAGTGTTGATTGAGGATGCCCTATAGTGTTGAGGAGACTGATAGCTTGATACCAGTGTAGGAACTGCCACTATTTTGAGTATGTGGGTGTCAAACACAGCTTATAACACTTTCTTTCATGAATTGAGTAGATTGCAATCTGATCCTGAAGCTGTGAGGTTTTTGTTAGTGGTTTGTGCTTTTTTCATTCCCATGTTTGGCTATTCCAGATCATCCTGCTTCAATTTTCTCTAAGATGATGCAGTCTTCCATGGGAGAAGCGTGTGGTAACTAACCCATAGCCTACTAGTAGAAATTGAAAAACTAGTGCATTTTAATATTCTTTTTTTGTACTTCCCAGCATCTCCAGATGTAATTAAAGGAGATAGTTTATTTTCACCGTGGCTGTGTATTTACTTGCAGAAAATATCATGAATATTTTCTGCTTCATCTTTACAGTCTGTAGAGTGCAAATTTTTAAAGGTGCCTAAAGATGCAGGCAGGTTGATAACAAAACTTATTCATAAAGATGAGAGCTAGGGAGGAAACAGGTTTTGAAGGGTCAAAAAGGTCTGTTTTTACTCTTTAATCCTCTGTTCACCATCGTATTCCTCTCCTCCATTTGTGTATAAGAAAACTATTACTGCAGAATCCAACAATAAAGATTGCAAATTAGACATTCGAGTTCGGGGTAAATCTCCTTCAACAGCTGAATTGTTGAACAAAAAAAGAACATAGCACTGGGCAGATTGCTTGATATCTGTATTGCAATCCGGAGTTTATCTTAGTCACAAGACTGATGTGATCTGAATGGCAAAAGACTGTCCGAGACGCAAGAGAATTCAACCAAAGTTATGGATTTTTCTTGTAATCAATAAAAACCAATGTAATAAATGATACTATGAATGATTTTAATGCTTTGAATATATGCCATGCCAAGAAGAAATTTGGTGAATTTTCTTTTTCTGCATATGCTTCAATACTAAAATATTTTGCTGTTAGTTAACTACCACAGAAACAGATGACACAAGATGATGGCGAGAGGTTTTTCTAGTAGGAACTTGATGTTCCTACTACAGAGGAAGTTTTGGCAGAGTCAAGATGTGGGGAAATTAGGTGCTATATCTGAACAGGAGACCTTGGAATGTGATCATCTATATTACCTGAGCTTATTTTAAGAAGCTTTTCCCCCATTTTTTTTTTCCCTAAGTTTTTATTCCTTTATACAGTGGCATTAGCCAGAATGTGCAACACTTATATTCTAGCCAACAGTGTTGAGGAGATACCATGAAATTTATCACCATAAATGCTAAGTTAGTTTTCATGCTAAGGATGTAGGCTTTCAGCCATGGATCGGTTTGCTACAGTATCCTGTTTCCTTGGTTAAAATAAATAAATAAATAAATAGTAAGGCCTAATCTAAAAAATGTTAGGAAGTGTGTAATCAAGTGAGGATTCCAGTGGTATACTTGATCTTCATGCATGATTGATGTGCCCTTGCTTGTAGCAGTTCTGTAGAGCTCTAAATGTATAAATGTATTCTCGTGGTTTTGGAATTAAATTCATGACTGCACTAAATATTGACTAATACAGTCCCTTCAGCATATTGGCTGCATGCCATTTATTTGGACTAACAAGCAAAATTAAAATAGGTCTCGGGGTCTCGGGGTTGTTTTTTTTTTTTTTTTTTTTTTTTTTTGGTGTGTGTGTGTGTGTGTGTGGATATAATTATTTTCTTTATTATGGACTTTCTCTGAGATGGTGCTGGTCCAGTACTATAAAATTTCTGGTCTTCCTATGATTGTCTCTGTTCAAAGATGGAGCACTGACAGTACAAAGTACTGTCTCCTTGTACCTTGCAGCAAAAAAAAGGCCTTCCAAAAAAGCTAAGAAAATTAAAATAACCTGCATATCTTAAATTGAAATTTTGAAAAGGAAGTACCTGGAAAGAAGATGCTCTAAATCAGGAGTGACTACATGGAAAGCAACTAATTCCAAGTTTTAAGTGTCTAGTGTTAAGAAATTGATGCAGAAAATAATTCATCCTTGAAGGAAAAGTAAGGGCAAAGGTAACTTTAATAAACTAGAAGTACTTTTAATCAAGCATTGTTTAGGACAAAAAACAGGCTATATTTGCAGACCTTTGATCTCTTATATCTTGTAGCACTGGAAATACTGTGCAGTACTGCTGAGGTACAATACACTAATGGATTTATAACAAGTTTGGCACATGGAAACCTGTTGGCTTTATTCAGACATAGCACAGAAGCACAACAGGAAGAAGACACAACATACTGATAGTATTCAGACACTTGGGCAAAAACAAAATACTGTAGACACTGAGCTCCTTTAATATGGAAATGCTGTTACTGCACACTGGGCATCTGGTACCATACCCTGTGTGAATAGCTGTGACCTCTGACAGAGGAGCTGCAGGATCTCTTAGTCATCACAGGGCTACGAGGAGGTTTACCCATAACAAATATCTCTCTCTTTAAATTAGCCTAGAAAAACCACAAAAATGTGTCAATTGAGTGTTTATGAATGAAGCATCTTGGGATTTTTGCCACTTCATTCACGCATGCAGATTGGACGTGCTTTCCTTGGTAAGAAAAGGCAAGTGTGCTACAGGTGCATGTAATTAATATTGGTAGTAGGTAGTATTTTCATTTTTGCACTTATCATTTTCTCAAGGGCTTGCTGCTCTGGCACGTGCACTTACGCATTAAAGTTAAGTCATCATTCAAGCACAATGCATGCATTTGAAGTAAGAACAGTTGTTGGAAGTCTGTCTACTGAAGTAGCTCATTTAATACAGAAAAAGTTCAACAGCAGACAGCGGAAACACTACCTTGAAAATACAAATGACAAATGTTGTTATTTGTTGCTGTTAAACAGACACCACACTTTAAATTTGCATTTAGAAAGCAAATATGTACTTGGTGGAAAGTACTTCAAGGAAAAATCCTAGTTTGGTTAACATCACCATTAATCAGCTAAATACTTGACGTGAAGCTGTTCTTAAACGGATGGGAGGCAAATGTGAATTCTTAGGCCTGCTGGTGAGTAGAAAGGCACGTGATGCTAGTGGAGTCCTCGTACGGTGGAAATCTCTTCTTTGTACTGTTTGTCTGTTTGTTTGCCAGCAGAAAGTGGTAAGGCAGAAAACCCTTTTAGAAGTTGGTGAATGGCCAAAGAAGGGAAATCAGCAGAGGTCAAGGAGGCAGGAACACATCAGCAGTTCTCCTCTGAAAGTATCTTTACAGCTCTTCCTTTGCAGGATACATTCTTCCCACCATCATGGATGGAAGTGATGCTTCTCTTCCATATAGCTACTTGTACTCTACTGTCCAGAATCTGAGGTCATGCTTTAGTGTTGAGCCTTATTCCAAACACGTGTATGCATATGGATGTATTTTTACATTAACAGACATTATGAAAGTATAGAGTTTCAGGAACTCCTTTGAACAACTTCACTGGTAGTGCCTGAGTCCTGGAAATTTCTGCTTTTTTTTTTTTTTTTTTTTTTTTTTTTTTTTTTTTAATTTAACAGCTGTAGTAAGACTTTAGTTATGGATAACATGTACAAACAGAAGAGTGCCCTCTGTCTGGTACTGTCTGTCCTTCCTTCTAAAGCTTAAGCTAGACGTTAAGCACAAAGAAATAATGGCTGGGCTCCAATTTTTTTTTTTTTTTTTGAGCTACAACTGTCCTGGCAATTTTGTCACTGTTGACTTCTGAAACAAATTTACCTACTGCTGGAATGAAATTAAATCTTTATCTCACTTCATAAATATTGCAGAAAAGAATCTATTAATTTAAGCAATTTTCAAAAAGAACCAGAGCTAGAATTCTTTAACATCACTCCCTCAGTTTCGTTCCTCCTAGTTCTTGATACTGTGGCTCTTGTATCTGCAAAGCTGGGGCCACGGCCTGTGTTTACTTGTGTTCCGTGCTTCCCACCATGCCCAGTAGATAGCAGTGTGCTGTTTAAGAGGTTGCCAGGAGTAGAACCCCCCCCCCCCCCCCCTTTTTCTTTTTCAAGAAAAGTTTTTCCCTCCGATTTCATCTGAGATTAACCTGCCTTCCTTAAACAAGGACGAGACGTATCAGGATCACCTAAAAATGCCTTTTTGCTGCTTTTATTCAAAGTGGCAGAAACAAATGCTCCGCTGTGTTTCACAGCTTCCTTGAAGTAGAAGCCCATGATAGATTCATACCCTAGCAAGAACTCCTGGGAATAATTCCCTTCAGGAAAACAACAAAAAAAAAAAACCCTGCAACTTGCAGACCTTAAGAAGTCTATTACACTTAAATTTTCTTTTAACACACAGTCTAAGGATGTAGGTTTTTCAATGATTTCTTTAAAAAAAAAAACAAAAAAAAAAACAAAAAAAAAAAAAAATGGAGCTAATGATCACTTTTCCCAGGACAATTTCTCAAACTTTTAATGTGACTCTTTTTCCTCATCACAAGGACACTCCGGGAGTCATCACTGGAAATTGATTTTGGGTCTAAACTGCACTGGGAATTTATCTGCTTAGGGCTGTAGACCTTTTCCAGAACTCATTTTTCTGCCACAGAATTGCAGGCTGACAGAAAGTGTAGTCTTGAAGAGAGAATAATCTTTGTTTAGTCCTTGACTAATTGATTTAGAATGTTACTCTGTGTAGTAGTGCTTTACTGTAAAACTTAGAGCTGTTTTCCTTGGCTTTGGGTTGAAATTTAAAAAGTGTTTTCAAGTACAAATATTACTTTGTTTCCATTTACTTGGATATTGTTCAGTATTCTTACTCAGATGAAAAAGAAGTCCTGGCATGAACTTTTGTAAGTGAGCTGAAGGTCTTCTGCTCTGCTACGATCTTGGAGGGCTACTTCACAAGTAAGGTCTCATATTACGTTGGCCTCTGATGTCAGAAGTGGATGTTAGTGGTATGGAAGTAGAAGTTAAACCTTCCCATCTGTATTCCATTGCGGTTTATTGCGGTGTGGTGGATGGCAGCAGAGGGGCAGTCTGACAGCATGGTGTCTGGCATGGAAGCGAGTATGAACCAAAGGTACGTCACTGAATTCCTCCACATGGAAAAAATGGTACCCACTGATATTCATTGGTGCTTGCTGAATGTTTATGGAGACCAAACAGTGAGTGTGAACACACTGAGGTGGTGAGCGGTGCATTGCAGCAGTGGGACCACGATGGTGGATCCACCTTGGCTGGTACAGGTTTTCACTAGTGCAGCATGCAGGTTCTTACCACTGGCAAAAATGCACTGCTAATGGTAGTGACTGTGCTTTTTAGCTGAAAATTTGCTCTATCAAATAGTGTTATTATGCTCCTTGTAACTGTTGTAGTTTCCATGGAAAAAATAGGAGGCATTACTTTCAGAGATACCTATGTATTTCAATATATTATAGAGATTACAGTGTTTCCTCACTTTTCATTTGAAGAAGGCCTACCTTAATCCTCCACATGCTATGTTACTTAATGTTAGTAGGGGAAATAATAGATGCTTAGGATTAGCCTTGCACTTATTAAACATTAGTGAAGATTTTCAAGAATCCATGCTTGAAAAGTGCAGTTACCTTTACCTTCAGTGAATCTTTCTCCTGTTCATGTAAAAGTTTAGAAATGAGAGGAGGTGAGAGGGAAGCAGCAGAGTGGGATGCTGTAAGAACAGAGTGAGAAGCTGGTGTGTTGGCAGAGTGAAATGGTAGATTTGAATGAAGGTGGAAAGGAGTATCAGACTCTTCTGATGTTTTCGTAGAAAGCAGAGCTGTCTTAAACAGTTAAAAAAGATGATAAATAATTATGCTATACAACCAGCTGTTATGGATTTAAAACACACAATAAGGAGTCATGTAACAAACATGGACAGTCAGAAATAGGATGCTAATTTTGATTATGTGTCAATCTACTACTATGGAAGAAAATTCTTCCCTCAAAAATTAAATTACTATTTGTGGCAGTGGATTTCACCTTTACTTTTACTGTTTTCTCTCATGTCATTGAAGTCAAGTAAGGGCAAAGGAAGTCTGCAAAATCTTTCTCATTAATTAGTTTTACATTTGGCCTAACACATTTCAAGAGTGAGACTGTTCAGGCAGTTGCTTTGGGTGGCTCATGCAAGCACGTAAAACAAATGCTCTGGAAAATAAGTGCTGGACAGAGAAATTTTGTTCTAAAACTGCTTGGAAATGACACAAACTGTGGCAACATCATAGCATTTAATGGCTAGCATGCATTGGAGATAGTTCATTGTTGTACTGTTCCGGAGACGAACCAGGGCAGGCTGTATGGGGAAGGATATGTTTAACGTAATCTGCCAAACGTAATCTGATCTGTTTCTAGTCACATTCTAGAAACAGTCTACTATAACTATATCGGCTGGTGAAGTGACACGTGAGGTACAAACACCTGAGTCTCCACAGGAGATGCATCCTTCCCTCTGAATAATGCTGACAGCATTTCTGGGGTCTTGTGCTCAGAAGGGTGGTACAGTGAGGAGAATGATTCCCTGGCTTTTTGTGAAAGATGAGAGAAGTCAACAATGAAAGAAGGGAGAGGAGAAGCAGGACTGAGATACCCTAGAACATAGTGTTGTCAGCACCTGCTTATGAGGAGGGACTATGCTTTAACTGACAATTTTTATTCAACACCATAGAATAAAACTGTGCCTGCACACAGTACAAAAACATAAATACAAGGAAAAGAAGAGAAAAATTATACTAAGTTACTTATCTGAACACAGAAGCCATGATTTTTGGAAATTAAAATACCTTATAGATACTCGGTGAGGTGCATCCTTCACAACATACTATGGAATCTCCTCTACTTCCTACAGGAAACACTAAATCGTCATGTATCAGGTCCTCCTCTATATAGAGTTTTATCAGTTCTTCTGTTGTGTCTTCTGATTCTCTGTAGAAATCTGATTCTTGAGGCTCTGACCGATCTCCTAGGTCAATTGACAGATCTGCTGTACAGATTTCATCTTCATTTTCAGCATTTGCATCTGGCATGGGAGAGATGGAACTACATTTATGTAGCAAAGGGATGTTGCAGGTAGAGAAAACATGTTCATCTTCTGTGGTAGTATCTGACAAGTCTCTAGGCATCTTGAGAGATGTACTTGGCTTTTCAGTTCTCAAGTCTTTATATTTTCTTAGTTCAGTATTGTTGCTTTCATGCTTATATGTTAAGTCATGAGATGAACTGGCTGAAGGTGAGATGGAGGCAGATACGAGAAAAGACTGAGGAAGAGCTGTAGTGGAGCTCAGAGAGATCTCTGTATTTGGAATAAAATCATTTCCCTTAACTTGATGAATGCTGCTATTTGGGGAGATGGCTAAAGATTGGGATGTTAATGCCAAAGAACTGAGTTCTTCTAAGTCACAAAGAAAACTGCCTGGAAATTGTGGAGGTGGTAAGATACGTAAGCTTGAAGGTGAAAAACCATCCGTCCTGGAAAATGAATCACTAGTGGCATCCTGGAGTGTCTTTTGATCATTGGGTGACCAAGAGGAGAAATGGTATCTGGGAGGTGGGGATAGTGCTTGGAAAGGCAACTTCAAAAAAATAAGAAAAACATGGGAATTTAAATCAATAAGCATGACAGAGAGCTGGGATATGAGTAGACTGGAAAGCCAAATGTCTGTGCCATCATCTGGATTAGGGGGTATCATTTCAGTGAGCACGGGTGTCTGAAATCATTAGTACATGAATCAGAACAGCAGAAAAGACATTTGAAAAATGAAACTGTATCAGGTTCTGGCCTCGGCTTAAATGTCAAACATCAAGACAAATCTGGATCATTACATTCATGAGGGTGACCTGCATTTGATCTGCTGAAGTTATGTTATTTATGGCTTTCTGTTAGTGAGCTTGTCGTAGGTTATTAAATCATACAATTAAAATTAATGTGATTTCCCCCTCACCCCCCCCCAAACCATTACTATTATTTTGAGCATAGGATTGTCAAAAAAATACTTCTCGTGCAATTAAGTTAAGCTCTAACATCTGAGGTGATTTCTAATTATCCTAATGTTAATATTTGTACTTCTCAGTACATGCTTAAGAAACATCTTAAATACATAGCATACTTTTATTAAGGCATAAGTATTTTTCGTTGAAAGTAACCCTATCAGTTTAAAATGACATCAACATTTGTGAAAGGTACACTCAATTCTAACTGAATGTAGGCAGCCAACAACAAAGCTTTAAAATAGTGACAGCACAGTATACAGCAGTATATTTTGAGTACCATTACATAATATTGATTGAAGTATCCTTCTGGTAAAAGAAACGTCCTTTTGTAAGAATGAGACTGGTGAGTCATACGTACACAGCATCAGTAGATATCCATTGCTTCAGTAAATACTGAAAATGCATTTTTATAACTATTAATCCTCAAAATTAAAATTGAATGAAAATGGTTTGACATCATTGTTAGAATTAGAAATGTTAATTTACTTACCTTTTACTGGAATTTTCTTGAGGCAGATAGCTTTATTTTAAAGTTAGACAAACCTTTGTTATAGAATCTTCTGTACCAAAGTATAGAGTCTCCAAACTGATAGTGTGGTCTGCTAAAACATTGCTGGAGTGTTACTAACAACACTCCATCTCTTTCCCTCATATTTACTCTTGGAAAAGGGCTTCAGACCTGTGGTTTAGAAGTCACATGGCCCAGGAGACATTGCCAGTTTTAGTTTCCTATGGCTATGGGATGCACTAAAGATACAGATGCTCTAGGCCAAGTTAATATAAATCAAAAGCAAGCTTTGTTCTCCTTATTTATTTTTATTGCCTAATGCCCCTCTCCTTCACTTGAGAACTAATCTATTACATAACATTAGTGGCAGAACAGATTTATAATCCAATGTGTCTGCAATATTTTCACTATTTAAAAACATAAACAGTGGTGAAAATGTACACCTGCTGTGATATGACAGAGTAAGAAAGATATGAGTTCATGTCATCCTTGCTTGCAAAGAGGAGGCAAATCTGGTCCATATAACCTCTCTGTATCAAACATAGGTGGACTACAGGAGAAGCATGTAGCATGTCTGGATGTTCTCCACCTGCTCTCTCAAGATGATCACAGCAGCTTTAGAAAAGGAGCCGCCACCAATAGCTCTGCAGCTCTCACGGGATGCAATTAAGGTATGTTGACTAAATGATTCATCTTCTATTCTAAATGGCTGTTACCTGATTTATTTCTTTAAAAATTTAAAAATTCTGTACAATATTCAATATAACTTTGAAATGGAGAGAGTGAATGAATACAGGAGGAACGTGAAGGCTCCCGAAGTCTAGGCTTTTCAACTTTCACAGAAGAATTTAAATAATTTACAAAGGTAAGAAATTACAGTCTAATTTTTAACATGCATATATTTTTATTTTTTTTTTTATCTGAACGTAAATACTCCAAAGCATCAGTTGTGCTCAGGAAGGGATCACTGACAAGATTATAAGGGTTAGACAAAAACCAGCTTCATTGCAGGAAATGCGCAGAAAATGGGGGAGAGGTGTCTCCAAATATAGACAGTTCTGCAGCATGCAGCACCTAAATTGCCTCATGCTCTTAAATGACCTTCTGCTTACTGTAATGAGAAAAGGCTGTAGCTCATGAATACCTCACTCTGAGGATACAGAACTGCATATTATTTCAGTTCAAAAGTTTTGTTGGAATGGAAGAGAAAGGAGCTGCTACTTCTCTGTGAACAAATACTATAAAACAACTACTATTGCTAAGCCATAAGCAGTATCATCAGAGACCACTGTTCCTATAACTGACTGTCCCAAAAGTTGTAAATAAATATGGAGCTTATCCCAAAGCCCAAAGCATCTAAATAAGCACCAGTATGCAAGTATGTGAGAGTAGAAAATGGGAAAACCATCTGAAATAGACAAATGGCAAGATAGATGCTTTATAAATTTCACAGAAAACATACTGCCCCATGGTGAAGAGATTGACAATGGTAAAGATTTGGAAAAGATTCCATCTTTAGCATTCAAAATCATTGATTGATAATGCATTAATACTAATCACAACTTGTATACAGAAGCTTTATTGATTCTATATCTGAAACGGATACTGTGAAATATTGAAAGTGAATGATAAAGTGGAATACAGGAATGTTTTTCGTAACATGATTTGTGGTAGTTATGAACTAGAAGGAAAATAATTCAGGAACTGTGACGTGTTTGGTGTGAAAAAATCACAGCTATGAAGGTCTGAATCCAAACACTGAAAATGTGCTGACATATTACTAACTACTGAATGATACAATGCTGTCACTGTTGTCATACCACTATAAAGAACTGCTCTTCAACCAACAGCTTCCTTGTAGAGTGTCATTGGCAAAAGGAGGAAGGTTACAGTATAGAATCGCTATCTGTTCTCTTTTACATTGAAAGGCATAGCTTTGCTCTTGGCAAGCTGTGTCCCCTTGTAAACTACCCTCTCATGCCCTTTGCATGCTTATGGGATTGCAGGCTTTTATGATGACAGATATGTCTTCACGTTGCATTATGAAGAATTTGCTAAACATATCCTTGATGCTCAAATTCTGTCCTAGACTCCACAGTGGTTTTTTTTTGTTTGTTTTTTTCCTGAGCAACTATTCTGGCAGAATGTAAAGCTTTCATTAAAATACTTCAGTGACAAGTTTGTAATGCACTTCTACAAATGCAGTATATATTTAAGAAAGAAAAGAGTGTACTGAATGCATAAATTATGTATTATCACATCAACAAAAAATTTACAAGTCCTTCTAAACCCACTCTAGGAGTGATATCAAAGAAGAACAATCCTTACCTTAGTTGAACTTAAATTGTGTATTCTGTCACTAGAATAACTTTGGGGTATAGGAGGATCAGGGTAGTCATCAGCACTTTTTGATGCATTCTTTTTGATAACTTCTACGTAGGAAACAGGGAAGATGCCTTGTCTGTTGGTTCCTGGTATTTTACCTTCATACCAGTTTTGATCAACCCGCTTAAGAAGTATGACTCTGTCTCCCTGGAATGCATTATAAAAATGTGTTATCAGCAGATGAGTAGTAACTTTTTTTTTAAATCACTGATCTTTTAATGCATAGAATTATTTCCCCGCAGTAGTGTTTCTGCCTTCACCTTTCTCCTGCCATTTATAATAACCATGTAAACAGTTACCATTCCAGCAAAAGGAGAATCGTTACAGACTGCTCTTGCTATTCAGCAGAATCTCTCTTTTGGTTGGAGGGCTAATACAAACTTTTCATAGGAGCACAACCTGTTTAAATTATTGGCCAGTCTACTAGCTAACACCTCAACTGTAATATGGAATAACCCTAGAATGGCTTGGGTTGGAAGAGACCCCAAGGATCATCGAATTCCAACCTCATTGCCAACATGCAGGGCCACCAACCTCCAGATCTGGTACTACAGCAGGTTGCCCAGAGCCCTATCCAACCTGCTCTTGAGCACCTCCAGGGATGAAGTGTCCACAACCCCTGACTGCATAAATTTAAATGCCCCATTTTCCCTAAGGGTAATAGAAGTTAAATAATTAAATCCATGCGTGTGCTTTATTATCAAGTAAAATTATAATAAATGAAAATGAAATGTTCAAAATTATTCCATGGGGAAAAAGAGAGAAATGCTTTTCCCACTGAGCATGCTGCACAAGCAGGTATCTATGTAAGAAGACAGATGGGCATAGGCTCACTTACTGTTTTTAGAGAGCCTAGAAACTGAAATGGAAAATAGCAACTTTTTATTCAAACATCTCTGTCTTAAGTTTTGAAACTTAATGAGCTCCTTCTTTTGTTTGATGTGATGTGCTTTTTACCCTGTCTTTTTAGAACAATCCTTCCCTATTAGTTTTTTGTTCTTAGGTTTCTGTAGTAGATTTGTGGAGTACCCTGAAGTTATCATTATTAAGATGGAAATGTAACTTTTAAAAACAAACCAAAATAGGGCTGACAAGGTAGTGACCACCACAATCAGCATGAAAGGGAATTAAAAAAAAAAAAAAATCAAACTGCCTCCCACCTCTAGTTCTGTTTCTATTCCTGATATTTTTTTTCTGGACCTCTTTAAAATGCACCAGTCTCAAACAAGTGGAAAAATACCCATTACCTTCAGTGATGCTAGATTAGGTGTTAATTCAGCATCAAAAAGCTGTATCCTTAGTTTTACACAAAAGGAGGAACACTGAATAACTTCTATGAACATTAACTCATTTAAAACAGAAAATAAATGAGGTAAAATTTTCCAGTGGGTAAAGAATATGTAATACTTATAACTAAGTGCATAATACCTCGAATAATAAAGTTCCTACAGCACGAGTATCTCAGTCAGACAAACCCCAGCAATTAAACACTTGTTTTGATCATGTAGAATAAAGGATCATCACCAACATGTATGTGTATAGACATAACAGGAATATGTCAGAAAGAGCAGACTATTACTAAGATGATAAATTTGCAAGAGCCAGTACTTTCACAGACATGTCTGAGCCTTTCTTCTGAATTTTGCTGTTTTCTATTTTCTGCATTTTTATTTCTCCAGTAGTAGAAGCCTCACCGTGATAATGAAGACAGTAACAATTCCTAAAAAGGTCAATGGATAATTAAAATGAAAAGCAGAAAACTGGGTTGCCAGTTTGAGGGTGTTTGCATATAGCAATTATATTTATATACACAAAATATTTAAGCTATTTGCAGGCAGCTGGGAAAGAATGCAAGCTAATGAGCTTATGTCAGCAGCTTTCTACCATTACACTGCTTTGTGCATGGCGAATTTTGTACCAAAGCACTAATTATGTATATATTAATTCAGTTTAGCAGTAGACATCATAATGTTATTTTGATAAAAAATAGTTGTAAGCTGTACCTTTCTAAGTGATAACTCCACATTTGTGTCTGCACTGAAATTATATTTGGCAATAGCTTCTCCAATCTCTCCAATCTGTGCAGGAGGAGGCGGCCTGGCAGGCTGTGCTTTTTCTGGAGGAGAAAGCTTCTATGGAGAAAAATACCAACAGATTTTAATCATTTGCATTTAGCTTGTGAATCTGTTACCCAAAGTAATTCAAGGAATTAAAACAAAGAACAAACCTCAACATAAGAAATTGGGAATATTCCAACTCTTCCATGGTGCTCACCTTCATACCAGTTTTGATCAATTTTCCTGAGGATATAGACAGTATCTCCTTTCTTAAAGGACAGCTCTCTGTAACAGATTCATTTAAATTGGGTGTTTATAACTTTACTTTTGAACTCCTCTACCTGCATAGCTCCTGCTGTTTCTAAGTTCAAAACTGAAACAAAATGTAGCAACTAAACATTTGGAGAAAAGATGTCATAGCTGTGGTACACTTACCAGTTGATTATACCCTACGAAACAGAACGATTCACATTTATGAACACTGGATTCTATTGGTAAGTCATATAGGCCTAACTTTTACCTCCAAGAAAGTATTTGTAGTTATTATCAGAGGGGACAGTATAGTGTCTGTAGGCAAGCATGATGACTTCAATGTCCCCTGTTTAGATGCAGGTGTTTTGACGGGTATCAGAGGCATACTTGGTGTTCTTGACAAATTGGTAGGGAAAGCTACTGAACACATTGCATGCTTCTGTGCCCAATTACTACCTTTCTGCAGCAGCATCGCTTAGAGTGCTTCTGTGTCAACTGTTTTTCTTTTGAGACCAAGATGATCAGAAGCATGATTATGTTCTCACCATTTCTGAGAATCAAGGCCTGTGATATGCTTAATGTTGGACACTGAAAAAGGGAATTATCAAAATCATCAAGAACATCTTCAGTACCTGGCCTGGGTGGTATTTGCTGTAGTGTCTTTTTTTCAGGCCCTAATCTGCTCTTCTGATAATTCAAGTTGTCAGTTTACACAGCTAATGCAATATTACTGACAATGTTGTACCGCATCTAAAGAACACTTGAACACCCTGGATCACAGGGTAACAGCAGTAATGAGGTATGATGTTCTCCTCTGGCTTCCTCAATCCTAGACCAGTGTTTTCTGATTTATATTATTTATTTATTTATTTATTTTTCCCCTGACAGACCACTACAGTTTATCTTGGTACGGGATATGTTACATCCTGCAGAAAATCTGTGGTAAGACAAGACGTATGAAAGATTCTGAAGCACTGTGCAGAATTCTGGTAAGAAAGCAATCTGTCTACAAGAGCACATTAAGCATGCTACTTTATGCAACCTAAATATGATTTGCAACAAAGACCATTCAGTGGGCAACCCTGAGGACTTGCTATAGGAAGGTGAAGATGCACAGCCACTCACATGTTCAAGTACGTACAATGGAAAATAGAATAATTTACAACATTTTAATTACAAAACTTCTTATACAGCATGCTAATGCAGAAGCTGTTGTGACAGCAGTTGGGGTCCTTTTCTTTCATGGCATTTGGCTGTAGAAATTGACTTTAACAGCAGGTATCTGTCAAGCTCTAGAAAGATTATCCTTGACTATGAATACTTAAAGGAACAAAAGTCTAGTACTTACTTAGAAGTTTGAGCTTTAAAGTCATATACAGCTCTAGCTGGCAGTTTCTGAAAAGTAGGCAAGATGATTAACACATTCAGGTAGTATTACTATATGGCAAACAATTTTTAGCTTTTAAAAAGGTGACCAAGATCTAATAAAAGAAGTGCATGTACTTGACAGCAGTTCTCACAGTGAGGCTCTTTTTGGGTAATTAAATATGCAACTTACTTTTCTGAGGTCGTTAGGTATTTGGGACAGCGTTTTAAAAATAGAACCAGCACCTACCTAAAGCACTGTCTTTAATAAAAAAAAAAAAGTCCCCAAAGTTATTAAAGGGATCCTGTCAAATTATGTTTTTTGATACTGATATAATACTCCATTACAGCTCTCCTTCATGTAGGATGGCCTAAATATAAAGCGTTTTTCTCTTCTCTGCTGTTATTAAAATTGATTTTGGAGGAGAGGGGATATTCTTTTTGTTAGGTTTTTGGGGTTTTTTTAGTCTTTACTGATTTTGCTTGTTTGTTTCTTTTTTTAGTACTGTAACTGATAAACCAAAGAATGAAAGAATGGAGATAGTATTAAAAGAACAGTGGGACTGACTGAAGGCAAAATCTACAAAACAGATTCAAAATATAGGTCTTTTGTCCTCTCATTGTTTTTTTTAAATTATAGCAGTCTTACACTACAAGCCATTCTTATATACCTAACGTCTTTTCATGTTGGAACTCAGAATTCTTTACATGCCCAATACACCTCCTGAAACTTTTTTTAACTGTTAATTTGTAATGAGCAATCTTTCCTTCCAGTACACTCGAGAGTACTGTACTCAGATTAATGGAAAATGTTAATCTGTTCTGTAATCTGTAGTCTACAGATATAAATAATTAATATAAAAATATAAATTAATACAAATATACGACTGAATAAAATCTCTGAAGCCTGCTTATAGAGTGCTTCAAGTTCTAGAACTTGAAAGTACACACACACACACACACAAAAAGAGTATATCACTCTCTTAAGCATATTTCAAGTGATAATTTGTGTTACTTTCTTTAGAGATTGTACATCTGCTTCCATTCCCTCTGCCAAAGCATTAAAATAAGCAATTGGCAGACAATGACGATCACTAGAGCTATTACAGAAATTAGGGATTGCTGTTAGAATAATGCTTTTTGTACAATACACCAACAGCAGTATTTTTTTCCTCTTTTAACACAAAAGTAATGATGGACTACAGATGTTAGGCTTGAAACTGTTGAGGCAGTTTCTTGCGTGGTTGAAAAATGTGATATTTCCACGTCCATTTAAATGTAAGTAGAAGATGCAGCTTATCTTATGTTGTTTGATATTCTTTTACTTTACATACCTGTCTCTTTAATGAAAAAGAAAGATTCTGTCCCACCTAAATACTGTGTTGAGTTGCACTTCCTTTTTTCTGTATCACTATGTTGTCTTATAACCAACAAAAATCTTGTCTCAGAAATGTTATTGATTTTTTTCCATATGGATATTGCTGCATTATTTATTTTTGTTTGCTACCTCTTTATCTGTAGCTCCTCTTCTGTCCCTTGGAGTACATTGTCCCACATCGGTGAAAGCAGAATAGTTTCCAGGAGTTTCCTGGTCTACTGAAAACAGAACATCATTATGTGAAACTGTGGTAAAATAAACACATTGAAATCTGGCATATTGCTTGGTATCTTTTAAAAGAATAAAGAGATAGTGACTCTATAATTTCACATTTAAAGCATGTTATGTTATGGTTAAAGTTGACCTTTAAAAAAACAAAGATACCAACTGTTAAGCCCAGTCTTTCCTCTGATCCACAGCAGAAGAATGTGTAACAGAGAGTGGGAAGAGCAAAATTATGCCTTACTGTATGAAGTGATGCACTCCTGCTGGACCAAATGGAAGACACGACGGGAGTACTGAGACTTTATCAGGTTGAGAAGCTTTTCTGAATGCCAGCAATATAATCACAATTACATGCACAAAACATGACTAAAGCATGCCTCAATGAGATAATAAGAAGAAATGATTTTTCTTCAATAGGCCAGCTTGTTAGTAGTTTTATTTCATAAAAAGATGGAATTATCATTACCAATCTCTGTGGCAGATTCTCTCTAAAGCATAGTTTTCCAATGTTTACTAGAGGATGGTACACTACAGGATGGCAATACCTTTTTTGTATTTTAATAAAAGAAAAATCTTGCACTTTCTACTGCTTGGTAAGTTTCCAGTGTGAATTAAAATGTAATGGAATTATTTCAGATCAGAGAATGAAATAAACTGTCCCTTGACTTCTGAGATTTGCTAGCAATTGCAGTTTCCTAACATCGGCTGCAGGAGGCTTCTGACTGATATTTGCCTCTCTTTGACTTCATTCACATGATCTGTTCTTACTAAGCTTATATATTTCTAAGTACAAGTGGAAAAATAGAATTAAGAACTTCTGCATTATGTTGCAGTTTTACAGAACAGAGACATCAATGGGCTGTTGGCCAAGCCAGGAGGACTTCAGGCTATTGATAAATACTGTGGGGGCAAAAATTATTTAACTGCATCACTTGGTTGTTGGTTGTTGGATGCAAGCGTGTCATCCCCAGCAAATTTATCATAGTTCCAATTGTGGACAGCTTTCTTTAAAGGTTTGATTATTGAGAATTTCTCTTCTGTGATAAGGTATTTCTGAAAACCTCATAGTTACATTAAGATTTTCTGAGAAGAATTAGTTTTACTGCCACAGAGATTGTAAACCATTTGAACAGTGAAAATGAAAACTTCCTAAAATAATTTACAGGTCTATTCACAAAAAGTAATATGAAGCAATGGAATTAGTGTATTTTCATGAAAAAAACAGGAACAACTCTCTATTACGGTGGCAGAATTAACAGCATTTTTATCAATTATACATTTTACTATATAGCTTTTAATGCTGATATTTTTGGTTTAAATATTCAAGGAAAAGCTCCCTGCGTATTATTTTCTGCTTGACCAGCATCTTAATGATGCATCCTGTCACATCCATTCACTTTCTGTAAGGTTTGTTTTGGTTTGGTTTTTTTGGACTTGCTTAAGTTATTAACACCACTATTATTTATAGCACTAATTATCTAATAGTTGAAATACACCACTTATCCACTTGTCCAGATTACTTCATTTTGTGAACAGACAACACGTTTTTCTAGTTTTGTGATGATGTAAAAATAACAGTCTTCCTGCATTAGTTTTGTGGAATGAATTGCTCTTATATACTACACAAATAAAAATGGAATGAGAAAGGGTGGGAAATACAGGGAATAAATCACAAGGATAGAGGAAGAAAGTGAATCCACCTTGGAAACACAGTGCACTATCATTTTCTTGGTTATTGTTGTTAGTTGTGTCCATGTCTTGGAGAGAGGCACTAAGAGGTAATCTTCCACAATCATTCTGGTAAAGTGGGCAATGAGTAGCACCATCTTGAGGCAGTGGATGAAAAGGCTGGTGCATGGGACTCTTTTTCAGAGCTGTAAGAGATGAATTCCTTTCTGGAATGTCTGGAAGCAGCTCAGTAATCAGTCTGTGTAATATACTATTGTCAGGCAAGCTTCCCCTTCTTTTTTCAGCTTTTATTTGGTCACAGATGTCTTTAAGTGCAGAATCTAGTGCTTCAAATACAGATGACTTGCGTTTTGTCTTTTCAGTTTGTTTTTTAGGGGCTGCACTTTTTTTCCTTCGGAAAGGCACTGGGCTGACTAGGAATGCTATCTTGGAGAGGCCAGATTCTGCCTCCTGTCTCCTTGAATCTTCAGCAGGTTCTTGTTTAGCCCTTTCATGTTTCAACATGGTGGTGAAGCGGGTGTAGGACGCTGGGCATCTCCCTTTGCAGGAGCTGATGAGATGCCTGTGATGGTGGTGGTGGTGGTGGTGGTGATGGCCCGATCCATAAAAGCTTTCAGATGATGTGAAGGAATAGTGATCAAAGTCACTTTCACTACAAAAGGATGACCCCTCTATCTGGATAAAGTCACTGAGGTCAGAAACCACTCCATCTTGATCACTGTCTGAGAAATCCATATGTGACCGCTGTGGCTCATCACTGGTCACTTCAATATGAATTGGCACCAGGGTTTTAGACTTGTAGCTCCGTTGTACCTGAGAGGGATGTCTGACTTCATTTTCTTCCTCCAGCAGAGACTCGATAGAAAATCGCCGCTGTGAACATAAACCATTTTTAGGAGGCTCTAGTGTAATGTTTGACAACATTTCATCACCTAGATTTGGCATTGATTTTGACTTCTGAATTAGTTTTTCAAATTCCGATATTCTGGTTGGCACCATATCTCTGGGCACCTCTTCCGTAGAAGATTCTCTCCAGCCCTGAAGGATACCTTTATGCTGTTCTTTTTCATACTGCAGTATTCTGGACTTCACAGAACAGATCACCTCAGAGTTCATCAAGTCCTTGCGATTGATACGATGCATCTTTTTGTACATTTTAAGGAAACCTGGGGCATCGTGCGCAGATCTGTGACGAACTCTTGCCCTACCACCACCACGGCCCTCAGGTGCATATGGGGATGCCCAGTTCATTGAGCAAACCTCTTTAGCATCCTCCTCACATAGAAGAGAGCCCATGCTTTCAGACTTGGCCTGTGCATCGGGAAAGCCATCCCGATCATCTGTTAAAAGATCATCACAGCTACGAGATTTTCTCTTTGGAGAAGTGGTTTCTTCTGTGCTGCTCCATACTTCTGCATTTTGTCGAGTCATTTGCCAGCCATTCTTGTAGCTGATTGCCCTCCTTGAATCGTTAGGAACAGCTAAATGTTGTCTGTAAGTGCTACAGTAATCTAATTCATTTGAGGTGTTGTGGTTGTGCACTGAATAACTGAGGAGGGATGGATATACTTTGCTAATATCCCCACCTTTATAATCCATAGAGCAGCATGATAAAAGAGAGACATTGCCAGAAATTAAAAGATTCAGAAAGTTGGAATTAATATCAGTAAGTATCAGAAAGACTAGAAAAGAGACAGCCATTAGTGCATCTGTTCTGTCAGCTTTGGACAGCACATACATTTCTACAGACCAGGACTGCAGAGCTAATAAACCATTTTCCAGCTTTAATAACGCACTTATGATAATTTGAACATTGAAAAAAATAAATCCAAATTCCTTAAGAATTGTGGTGATGTCCGCCTCCCAAACAAAAACAAAACAGTGTAAGAAAACAACTATCAATATTGATCATGAAGCAGGTTAAAAAAAAAAAAAAAAGATGAAGTCAAACCAAAAATCTAGACTCCAGAATTATAACTTTGAGATAAATTGAAGTGTTTTATCCCTAGAGCTAAGACCAACACTTTTTATGTTTAAATAGATCATTTTTTTTTTCCTGTGGTAATCAAATTAAATGATAAGTACAGAAAGTGTAAAAATTGGACAAAATTTGTATCTCTTAGTTAATTTAAATTTCTTATTAGTATATGCTGAGTTTAAGAAATTATTCCATTATACATTCTTAACTATGTTTCAAATACTGGCTTAACTATATTTCAAAAATGTGTATTCTGAAAGCTGTACAGAGTTTTTGATCTGATTAATGTTCAGACAGTTGACAGGTGGTGCAGTAAAAAGTAAATGCAGGTGAACTGAGTTCACCACCTTTTCACTGTCTGCCCTGGTGCACCAAATGGATGAGATTATTTTTTAAATTACTGATCTTAACAGTGGTTTTAAAATAAATCTGTTCTATCACTTCATTCTTAGTATTTCTCACTGTTTTTCTTTGATACAAGGATGGGTATTGTAGTAGATAGTACTCTGTATATTACATCCATCATATATTTTGCTGGAAACCTTTTGTCTTGCTAATAAAAACACCTAAAACTCCCAAACTAAACCGCCTAATTCCAGTGTCTCTTTTCTGGAGAGACATGGAGAACAGCAGTGAGACCATAAGTTACTTGGAAAAAAAACAAACAAAAAACAAAAAATCTAGATTGTATATTGTGTAGTGAGTACTTCAAGGATTCTGGATGTGGCTCTGGGCAGCCTGGTCTAGCGGTTGATAACACTGCACATAGCAGGGGGGTTGAAACTAGATAATCGTGATGGTCCCTTTCAACCCAGGCCATTCTGTGATTTATGAAATTAAAAATCTGACGATGAATATTTGCTTGATTTCTTGTCCTAGAAGGGGCAGATGAAACTGGAAAACCCTTACTACAAGTCCAGCTTTTGATCAGCTTAGAATCACACACATGTGTAAAGATAAACAAGTTAGTCTTTAAGGAAAGGTCCAAAGCCCCTCATACAGTAAATCTCCCTACAGAGTGCACTCAGCAACAGTGGACAACAGTTGTATTTACTACCAAGAGATTGTACAACATGTCATCATCAGATTTCCTCCTAACAAATATGATGTCCTCTTACCTTTTGCTCGTGATGGAGAAGAAGGAGACGAGCTAGTTAAAGGCTTTCTAAGGGTGGTGTATGGGCCTTGCATATCTGTACGGCCCAGGCTGGGCCTGTTTGCATTCTGATCACTGTGTGCTCTCTGATGACTTACAGCAGGTTCTGACTTCCTCCTTTTCCTATAGTCACTCGCAGTACTTGCAGAACTATAAAAACAACCAGCATTAGTAGCAGCCTCATCTCTGTAATAACAACTCAGTAATTAAAAAGCAAGCTCGTAATTGCATTATTTGCTTATGGATTGAGCAATGCCAGAAGAAATACATCTGAAACATGCACAGGGGAGAAGCACTGGGCTCGGCTCTCTTACAGCACATTTGACAGAAAAAAGCTGAATTTTTTCTTCACTTGATTGTATCAAAGTTTCATATAAAATTGTTATATTGCTTTCATAATGATGACTTTGAAATAAACGTACCAAGCTTTTTAGAGTAAATTTTGAAATACTGCAAAAGTATCAGCCACTAATGATTTGAAAGTCTTTCCATATTAATTTTGATAAGGTGACAGTATCACCAGGAGGTCTGGCTACTGAGATAGCTGTACCAAACTGAGATGTATACAGGTTAAGCAGTCTGATTATTAAGGATGCTGAATAAGATATTAAAAGAGCTGCCTTTATGAGTAGGAAATAACAGTGTGAGTAGTAAAATGCAGCTACAGACAAAAAATTAAATGGTAAGTTGCTGTTAGCACTAGAGTAGAAGTTCAGTGTAAAGATGAGAAAAGGCAATAGAACAGGTGAGGTAACAAGCTTCTGGGAACCGCACAGAAAAGCATTGCAAGCAGTAAGAATAAATGAAGGAGTGTTGAAGCTGAGAAGCTCAGGGATGTCACTGGAAAGACCCAGAACACAGCATGGATTACATTGAATGCAAACAGTAAATCCTTGAAAACCAAACTAAGAATTGCACTTGAGTATCAAAATATGAACATCCTCTCCACGTACCTGCCATTATCTTAGGAATCCACAATGTGAAATTTAATATTTGACTCCTTTCAACATCTGCTGGCTTCAGGTCACAAAGAAAGCCCTTAGGCTGTAAAATGTGTATTGAAGCCACACATACTGTATTTCTTACCTGGAAGGCCTGTCCAGGCCTCTGTCTGTTGAAGAGTGATGATATAAGGAAGTCTGTGAAAACAAATACATAAATCTGTTATATGCCTATATATGAAAAAAGGTGACAATTTCTGCTTACATTTTGGATTATTATGTTTGCTACTCCGTGACATCCTATAAAAACAGACCACAGTGATCAACATACTATGTGCTCCAGCACAGAGATACTGCAATATTCAGTCAGGCAGTTTCTAAAAAGCATCGCTTGATTTATTTCTGTGTTCTATTTCAGTTATATTTTTGTTTTTAAAGCACTAAAATAATGATTTAGAGCCATGCTTCTCTATACTGTTTTCAAAAATGGATACACAACACCTGAAATTATCTTTGACTATGAAATATAAAAAATCTGAAAATGATTCCTCCTTGTACAAAGCAACATCTGCAAAGCTTCTCCTCCATCTCAATTACTCTCCAGAATTTCACAATCAGTTATAGCCAGAAGCAAAACCTGCTGAAAGACCCTGGATTTTTCTGGCCAATTACTGGCCACCTTACATTCATGGTCAACTATTTTTCCTCTCTGTAGAAGCCTTCTAGACTTATTCTCTAAAAAGGAATTTTTTTTTTTTTTACAGATTTTTCTCCATACCAAAGGATTGCAGAAGTAACACTTGTCACTGTGTAAGCACATGAGAGTGAGCGTGCACAGGACTGTGGAATACAGTCATGCTTTATCACAACATAATATATATTTTTTTATTTGCTAAAACCAACCTATTTTTCTTCATGTGAATGCAAAGCTACTTCTTACAAATTTCATTTTCCCAGCAAAACACAGATTTGCTTTCTTTTTAAATTGTTTGCCATTGCACTGCTCTTAGGTGATAAGCAACCTATGTATGACTTTACTAATACAATCCACTATTAGTTTTTTTATTTTAAAGCGAAGAACAGAAATGGGTAATTGTTCACCAAAGCATTTTGTGTACTGTAACTTAACTCATAAAGTCAGTGGACGTGTAAGTTACAGAGAAGGGGTCCTGTGATACAAAACCATATGTCTGCTCTAGGATCAAGTGCAGAGTTAATGCACTTTCCCAACAGCAGTGTAAGTAGAAGCCTGTGCTTTGGAGCTGCTTCTGTTATGGAGGTGTGCTGATCATCGTCAAACATTCTCAAACGGGCAATAAACCTGCTGGCATTGCTTATGAAATGATCCCTATTTTATATTTGGAACACGTGTGGGGATAATGAGTGCATTCCTTTTAACTCAGCCCACCTGAACAAAATATCATGATATTTGTTTTTAGAATATATTCAGAAGGAGGTCCTGAGTCTTTTACTGTTCAGTTCATATTTTCAAGCTTTTCTTTAGATCTTCTGAAAGCTGAAAACTGCTTTATGCCAATTTTCAAGTGTCCAGTGTCAAAGTTTTAACAAAACACATCTAAATACAAAATCTGTCTGCAGCAAAACCACAAAAGCCAGAGTTGGCACAGCTGCTGACACCAACAGAGTAACCCCAGTTTTCCGCATGCCGCCACACAGCACAGTGAAGAAGACTGCACTGCCACACAGAAGGAGCATCTACAAAACACATGTTCTGTCAAATACAAATCTTATTTCAAAGCCGCCTAGCACTATAAGCCTCAACCTCAAACTGCCTGTGAGGCAGTGCAAGCACAGCACTGTCACTGCAGGCCTTGTGTGCAGGTGCCATTCCAGTCAGAGGCAGACCGGGCCATGTGACACAGGACACAAACCAAACACCTGAGGCAGGGAGAGCTCTCACCACTTGTAATGACTGCAGGGTCATACAGACCATAACGCAAATCCTGAGGGCAGCATAGCTCCCATTGGCTCCTATGGAAGGCAAGAGGTAAACCACACAACTGAAGCAAAACCACAAAGCGCTTCTTTATCCGCAGCACTCCCCAGATTGTATATAGCATGTTAGCAATCAGCCTAAGACAGAAAAAAATGTGTGTCATCCCAAAACGGACTGCTGTGCTGCTACACAGCTTTTCCTTTCCTTCCTTTAAGATATCACCTCGGATGTAACGTGCTATTTTTCCCCTTTGATGCAGTCTTTTGAAGATTTTGGAAGACATGTACAGAGGCATATATGCTGTACCATACCATACCAATTATTAACACACACATACATTGTTATCCGTAGTGAAGTTTATACCTTCTACCCACTGGTATAACCACACTGATAGAGGGAAAAGGTGAAAGCAAGTAGTGGATATAGTTGCTTATCATTTCCACTGTTGGCAGCTGCCTGACAAAAACAATTTAGTGTTAGAAACACCCTTTGCAAACTACAAATACAGATTTTACTGAGTACTTTGATACAGTTTTACTGAAAGAGGTGAAATATGGATATACAGTTAAGCCAACGTTATAGATGTTTTCATGCATCGAAGCTTTAATGGTGTCTGAGAATGAAGAAGGTAGGCAAAAGTTAAAAACAACAAACAGGTTTGTTTATATCATGCTTCTAATGTTTTAATGAGTTGTTCCACAATATTTTCTGCAGAAAAAATACTGAATTCACTGTAATTTCCAAACAGGAGTTAAATTTAAAGACTTTTAAATTTTCAAAACAAAAGATGAGTGCCTTTGTAAGTTAAACAAAGACAAATCCAATTTGCTGAATATTTACTTTACCCAGACTTGCCGAACATGATTATATTCCAAATAATTTTTTATGCTAGGACTCTTACACTGTCTTCTAATACATAGAGCAGGAAAGGCCTAGAAGTTTATTTTCTCAGAGAACTGGGCCTAAATTTCACAACTGTAAAGTTTTTCCAAGTTTGTAGAGCTTAAAACCAAGTCAGAGTAATCAGCAACACAAGTAACAATTTAAGGTCACAATTTTTGTTCAATTTTTGGAGATTCCAAGGAAGTGAATCACAAATATGACAAAAGCAAAGCCACTGTATGAAGTAGAGTTGTTATTGCTGGAGTCACTGACTTTTGCCCTAACACTCTAAAAATGGGAGCAAATAGGAGAAAGAATGAAAGCCTGCATCTCTCCCATTCAGAGTAGGGCAGTGACAGCCTCATATATTTTATTCAGCGGCTGCCAATTCTGCAGTTGCAAATTTACAACAGGATTATAAATTTTCAGTTTCCAGACTTCAGTCAGAAGTACTTAATTGGAGAAGCGATAGCTCAGTCACAAAGGCTTTGACTTGACATATAGAATTTGCAGTCAGATATTTTAATAAAAGATATTATTATGCTGATGTATTAACTGTGTGTGAGAGCAACACACTTGCCCAACTCTGAAGAAGTTGGAATTGGTCAAGATTTAGAGACACATGAGCTGTTGCGTAGTTCTGATTGTTAATCTCTGAGCAGCTTTGGGGATAAGAACTCACAGTTCCTAGGATAATAAGATCAACATCCAAATGCATTAGTGATCTGGAAAAATATGAAGACAAAGACACAGTGATCATGAATTAGAAACTTCTAATAAATATCAGGAGGAACCCACAAAATTCTAACAAACAGACACAAAGAGCAAGCATGCCAATCCTTCTTCCCAAGAGAATCACCTGAACAAGAATCATTCATTTACCTCATTGGAAACACCGGAAGAACTGTCTTGAACATAGTCCAAAAGCTTTTTAGGTGGCTGCATCATATAAGCAGAAGTGTAGAGATGGAATGGAGGAGAATCAATGGCAGCAAGGAATGAAATGTGAAGGTGACACAGTTAGAAACTAAGTGTTGACAACATCAGGTACAAGAGTGACACACATGGGTAGAATGGGAGAAAGAATGTGTTATAGTGTTCGTAATTTTTTAAGCATCTAAGTAATATGTTAGTAACTTTAGGTGGTAAAATTTACAACTGCAATGACTGAATCAGTACTAGCTGTATTTAATACTGGTGAGACAGCATAAGGTGTCATAGTTACATTTTTGTGGGATAAGCCTCAACATTCTTCATCTCAGAGGAGGCACTACTCTCAAGTTATCATTATGAGTAAAACTGTTAACATATCGTTTTCAGAAGAATGCATCTGGACTGTTTCTGCCTACCTATGCGGAGGAATGACAAAACAGCTTCAATGGCTAGATAAAAGGAGATAAAAGGTAATCAGTGATAAATTTGATACACTGGACAACAACTTTTAAAGGAAAGTATGTAGTTTGCTTTCTCTTCTTCTCTCACTGATGTAGCTGCAAGTTCTGCAGTTGGTGTTTGAGCAGGTACAAGAAGGCGGCTGCTTCCCAGGGCATTCTCCTGGAAATTAGAAATTGAACCTAATCCAGCCCTAATGTATAGTCCATATTTAAGTTATTAAAGTCAAAACCCTGGTAAGTTAAGGCTCCACTTAAAAAAAAAATGTTATATGCATTAGATGACTGTATTGACCTTTCTCAAAAAAGGTCACATTAACTTTACTGGGATATGTTTGCTGAAGTTGGTAATTGTTAAATTCATATCAAAATATTTTTTAATATTCTGTCCTCACTTACCGGACGTCCAAACTCCAGTTCTGAAAAGAACTTATACCAGGGTTCATTTTCTAAATCTATGTCATCTGGGTTTATGCAATCAGGCTGGAGCAGTTGTGAAGGAAAAGGGAAGGAAAAGGCACACACTGAGCAAAGGGCTACAAATGCCGCGTCACTTCAACAATACACATGCAAACACAAAACAAATATAGGGGAAGTAATGGAATAAAATCAAAGAATGAAGATGGTATTTAAGATAGAATATTCTTGTTCAAGAGCTGTCATTGACTGGAAGCTTTAATACTTTCCTTTCCGTTGCTATTCTTCTAATGATTGAAAGACTTTAAGGATTTCAAGATTACTTTTCTTACGCTAAGATGATCTTTGACCACTTCTGTAAACGTAGCTGCAAATACCTTTAATACTACTGAAGATTCTTTGTTAAGAAAATGCTTTAAATGATTTTCAGCTGGGTAATAAAGCACCCATGTGATTGGCAATAAAGGCATAATTCTATCCTTATTGCTTTCAGTCATTCCTCTCAGAAAGCAAGTTAATTCTGGATCTTGCTGTTTTGAAGCAAGCACTGAGCAGAGATGAGCAATATGCATCATGCAAGCACAGCTATATTAAAAAGCCACTTCAGAGCGTTGAACGGAATTTTTATAAATTTTAAATCCTATGGTCAAAAATAGGGAACAAAAGTTGTGCATTCCATAATTTTAGCTTTAGCAGCATTTATAATGTTTTGTCTCCCACAGGCTCATTGACATGAAATGTTTTTGTTGGTTTTTTTTTTTTTTTCCACAGCAAAATATATTGTTTTCATCTGAAAGTTCTCACAGCAAAGGGATAAAGTAGGAATTGAAGTCAGCATTGAGAAAGCTTTTCAGTGAACTGAATAATAATTGACAGAATTATTCAAGCAGCATGAAAACATGACAGTGCAAAACAGTAGAGCTCCCAATGGGATATTTAATCCACTGCAAACTTGGCTGCCTTAATTATTTTCTAAACAGCTTGAGTTTCTTTGTAGGATCTGCTATATGCTGACCTGCAGCGCAGAATTATAGAGAATCACTGTCTTAAAGATCTGCAAATAAGAAAAAAAAAAATCTTCTTGTAGAAGATATTTCTGAATTTAAAATTTTGGCTGCAACTCTGAGACACTAAGTGACCTAGGAAAGCATTTCTTAAAAGCTGCAGTGGGTCCTATGGAAATGATGTTTCTGGTGATTAAGTATTTAGCACTTTTTCTGCATGAGTCAAACTGTCACCAACATATCAGAGCAACCACATACAGCTATTTCTGTTTTCTGCAAGAGATAACGCTGTGTACTTGACCATTTCAGGTAATTAAACATCTTACAGCACTCCTCTTACTGCTTTTGATGTTACTTGATCAAGCTGCCAACTTTGCTCTATTAAAAGCTCTACAGCCCTTTTGAACTGCATTGGTGCTTCCGTATCTGTGAGCAATTCAAGCAATAGCTGTTGTTTTATAGATTTAGCTTCACAATGTCCCTTTCAAGTAACGTGACAGCAGTGAATGCCAGCACTGGGGCAGCTCGTCCATGCTCCAAGGAGCAAAGCTGCTCCGGAGTTTTGCCCTTGCACTTCCACCACACACAGCCATTATTGAGCGCTACTATTGACAGCTAACTGTTTCAACTCAACTATACACGCACTAGTCTTTAGTAGTAAAACACCACTGAAATAAGTTTCATGAACAGTTAAGACTTACCATCTTATTAGCAACTATAACTGATTTCCAAAACACATGAATCTCTTCTACAAAGACGAAGACATGAATGCAAACACAATAGATTCAGAACTACAGAAGATCTGAGAGATTAAGGAATTGAGGGAGTTTAGCCTGGAGGACAGGTGGCTGAGGTGAGGCCTCATCGTTCTGCAGCTACCTGAAAGGAGGCTGCAGTGAGGATGGTGCTGATCTCTTTTCCCAGGTGACAAGGAATAGGACACTTGGCAGCAGCATAGAGTTGAGACAGGGAGGTCTAGAGGAGATAGCAGGAAGGATTTATTCACAGAATGAGTGCTTTAATGTGCTCTAGCCACTAATGGGTGTTCACTTCATTGGGATCAGATTTGACTTACTCAGATACAACTCCCATGAGATGTGGGTGGCGTGGTTACCACAGAGCACTACAAATCTTGGGTTACTGACATTATATGCAGGGGCAGCCCACCTCAGCTTTACGACTACACAAGGAATGGACCATTAAACGCTTTAAAATGGAGAGAGTAACTGGCTCCCCTTTTATCTTCAACTACTCTTGCTATTAGTTGAAAGCTTAAGCAGAAAAATTCTGCTTGTAAGAAAGTTGTGTATTTTAATGCAGTTTCTGAGTTTTCAAGTTCTCACTCTGTAGCAGTGTGCCAATGCAGAGATAGCATAAGGGAATGTGTGGAGTTAACTCCATACACACAGCTCCTAACTTTATTTACAGACTGAACCGCAGAGGGCAGCAAACAAAAGAGAAGAGCTTTAGAGTTCATAACTCCACTACTGCTTGCTGGCTGCAGGAGGACGCTGCACTCCCTGTGCTACCACGATCAATACTCTCAGGCAATTGATTTCAATTGGCTTCAAGTCAGTTTTGCTGAAGGACTGCTTTCTATTATCTATCCTCCTGACAGAGTTGAAATGAACAAATCATTTGAACTTACACTGATTTTGGCTAGGGCTTAGAAAGTAACTCTCAGTCTGCTGGGACTGAGGGCAAAAGCAGTAAGAATTCTTTTTTCTATGACTTGTCAGTCAAACCAAGTTGTGCTTCTATATTCTAACCTAGAATTCAATAGGAAATTCCTTCTACTGGACAGACATATTAAAAAACAAAACAAAACAAAAAACACCTAGAATTGAAATGGAACTCCACAGTTTTAACTGAATAGCACAAATATATCTCTATGCTTTGAGCAGACACTGATGAAAGTAAATGCATTTATTGCCAATTTTACAGCCTTTATAGCCCTTCTTTCTGCCTCACTTCACTGAAGAAAAAGAGAAATGTACAAATAGTTGTGTGAAGGTGTTATTTGACAAATACAAGGCTGAAACTAGTGAAGAATAAATATTTAACTTCACATTCATATGAGTAAGATTAAATTATTATGCTACAATTAACTCATTTACTGGAAGAAAATACACATTTTAGGAAACAAATCCATGGCTTGGATGCTATTAATGAAAACAAGAAGCATTTTATTGAATCGCAGATGTTAGAGATGGAAACATACATGAGAACTTATGTAGCACCTTACCAGTACAGTGCTGTGTTATTAGAAGAAATAGTAATGTTTTACGGGAGAAGAAGGAACTGCCATTGCATTCAACAGGCTAAGGTAATCTTTAAAAATAAAAAGAGCTGTTGTCTTTATTTATTTTTTAGTTAATAGGGTTGAAATTTTTATTTTCTACACCATAAGTCCCTTGTTTCTGTAGATGTTTTAAGCTCTAACATGTTCAACATAATAAAAAAACCCATCAATTTCCTGCTTAATGACAGCAGGCTGCAATGTGATACTACAGCTTGAAATTAGCGTCATCTTTTCATGTCCATAGCAAAGATAACCATCACTCTCTAACAGATCTATTCATTTAACGCTTATTACTAGGCCATTTATTTTAGACTTATTAGTTTTCATGTTCTTTTCTTCTACTGGATGAATAATCGGAGAATTATATTTACCATTAAATATTAGTCTTATACAGAATCTCATTTTATTATATTATTCCATTCTAAATTAATCACAGCTGTAATATCTGCCTCAGTAATGGGAAACCTAATCTTTCACCTTAATCTGCCCTATATGAAAGATAGTTATACATATTGCTTTATTTATTGCAGAGCAGTTCACAACATAGATGCAGTGCAGATATGGAAAATATTTAATTTCAGCAAAAAATTTTTAAGAGTAAGAATTGGAATGTTGAAGTATCTGAAGTTTTTTGGTTTTTGTTTGGTTTTTTTTTTGGTAAAAGAGCAAGAGTTTTTAATTCAGATGTTACAAATGTCCAACTTTACAACTATATCTATCTTTATCTTCCCTATTTTGTGTAATATTTTAATAAAATAGGAATAATTTCATAGACATTAAGAATCAAAATACTTAGAGATGATGAAAATGAAAGACCTAACTTATGCAGTACTAACACAGATGAGGATTTGGAATGTTCACCTGAATCTGGAACTAATACAATAATCTCACATGTCAGCTTTTCCTAGCACAGAAAAATCCTTTGGCCTACTCTGCTGATCATCTTTTCATGAGTCAGGAGTTGTATTTCCCATATCTGATTTAAGGAACACGAGAAAAACAAATGCTTCAATGAAATCACTTCCAGAGCAGTGATAGCTTGCTCTACTTCAAGTGTTTTTTTAAAATCAGTTAATAGCTACACTACTGTCAGCATTATTTTCATGTCTTGTATTCTGCATTAGCTCCCATTTTCCAGGCTTTCACAATTCTGAATCACACATAAACAAAGAATCTCTCAGTTCTGTCCATGAATATTATTCCCTCAATTTTTTAGCTTTATTCTACAAGGAGACATTTCCTTAAATTCACAATAGCTACTGAGCTTCAAATGGCAAAGTCTGATTTTTTCTCGGCTGAAGCAAATAAGCAAGGCTTTTCTGCATGAAAATATTACAAGTTTTAAATACTTTAAAGCTCAAAATCCAAAATCCAACCTCTTGATTGAGACACCAAAAATGCACAAGTGTAAAAAAAAAAAAAAAAAAAAAAAAAAAAAAAAAAGCACCAGAAACAGTCAGCAAAGCTTGCTTTTGTGTCGTTTCATTACTTCCTCAAAACTGAAAAATTGTATCTATGATTGCATTGATCAGCACTGCATTTCTTACATGAACTTTTTTTTTCATGCTACATTGGCAGAAAATATAGTTTACTATAAAAGTACAACCATTCTTGAATCATTCTGAAATATTCTTATTTTAAGAATTTAATTTCATTTTTTAATATTTTAATTAAATAATATATTAATTAAAAATTAATAAATTTTTTAATTAAAAAATAATAATTTTATTATTTGCTACAATTCTTTGGCATTGGCAAAGTTGGCAGGTGACCTCAGTGTACAGTGCTGCTTGAGTGCAACTTAACAATAAATTCTAAATCCCATGTAATTAGTTTGATTAATTAGCAGCCCACATAGAAATGTCAACATCTTCTACAAAAAATTGCACTGGTTCTGCAAGAGCTGAATTTCACAGAAACACACCTATTTCCTAGCTAAAAAAAGTTATACTCCCACAAAAACATGAGGGAAAGGTTCTTAGTACAGGCTGTTTCACACTGTTGAAGTATCATGTATTCTGGAATTAAATTATTTGAATAATTTACGTTATATTAGAGAATTATATTAGAGAAACAAATCCTACGAACAAGCATGCAATGCAACCATGTACAAGCAAATAATAACCCTGTATCCATTATTTAAGATCTTTGGAAAATGGATCCCCTCAGCTGTTCCAATCTCAAGGTAAAAGCCCAAAAAAACAAAATACTGCCATCATAACATGTCTATTTGCCTAAAATAATGAAGTATTGGGATAGCACAAAAGAAAATTAGACTGGCTGGGCAAATGCGTCATTTTGCATACATCAATCTTAGCTTTATCAGACATGCTTATAAATAATCCCACAACTTCAATAATTATTCAGAAGGCAGGAATAAGGACTTCAAATTACATGTTCACAAACATTCAGTACTCACGAGTAATTGAGACTGGAAAGACCCTTCAGAGGTCACCCAGTCCAACCTCCTGCTGGAAGCAGGTCTAACCAGATCATGTTGCTCAGAACTGTGTCCAGGTGACTCTTGAAAACCTCCAGAAACTGAGGTTCCACAGCCTGTCTGGGCTATCTATCACCAGTATTTGACTAGAATCTGCTTAGGCATAACCTTAGCCACACCTTGAAAATGCGAATAATTTATTTTTATGCATTAGTTAATTAGAAAACATATAGAACCACATAACCATAGAATTGTTTAAGTTTGAAGACACCTCTAGTGGTCATCTGGTCCAACTCTCCTGCAATGAACAGGAATATCTACAAGTAGATCAGGATGCTCAGAGCCCTGTCCTGCCTGACCCTGAATGTCTCCAGGGATGTTGGCATCCACCACCTTTCTGGGCAACCTGTTCTGGTGCCACACCATCCTTATTGTAAACAACTTTTTCCTTACATCCAATATAAATCTCTCCTGTTTTAGTTTGAAACTATTTCCCCTTGTGCTATCACAGACCCTGCAGAAGAGTCTGTCCCCATATGTGTTGTTATTACGTCTGAAAATGAGAGCTGGGTATGTATGCCAGCCAATTAGAAAAAGCAGCTTCCATTAATTCACAGTTCTACTCGTCATCCATTTCATTTGCACACTGGTCCTTTGAGTTCTTGGAAATACCAGATTTTAAGTTTAGCAAATAAAGCAAACATATTTTCAGAAAATCAGGAAACAGCAATGAGAAATTGCTGTAAAATTATATTTGAAAAAGACTTTTGATGTTAATCTGAGCAGTTATAATCACTAATAAACAGTAGAAAGATGACATTTCACCAAATTTCTTACTATGTATCACTACTTATCACTGTTTCATTTATGCCTCTTACCGGCCTTTCGTGTTCAAGGATTGATGACTTTCCTGGCTCATACTCAAAAATGCTTCTTGGTTCTGAGCGGAACTTGCGAGTATCTACTTTTCTGTCAGGAGGATCCCAGTCATTTCTAAATAACAAATAAGAGCAGTTGAGTTCATTGACCATCAACCCCTTCTGCTTTACAGCACAATGGGAGATGCACACAAAACCAAGTGAATTTCAGCACGGTTTCACTTTCCAGCTTTCAGCTCTGAAATGTCTGGACTAGCGCCCCATCTTCACTTGCTTACAGCAGGTATATGTAGTGCAGTAGGAAAAGCATAGTTATGTCTAGCCAATGGGATTGTTCATCCTTTTGTTTTAAACGGTTAAATAACTTGAAAACTATTCTGAAATACTGTGAGAAAAAAACACAGTATGCCTTCTCAAATTGCAAATACACTATATGCTTATGCAGAACTCACTATTTGCTACACTACATAATGTACATAATGGTAGATATTTTTATCATTGCACAATATGACAGTCCGTATTGAAAAGTAACAGAATTTTCCAAGAAAAAAATAAAATTTAACTTTACTATTACTACTGTGTTGTTTTTTTTTTTTTCAGTCATTTATCACATTGTTTTAATAGCTACCTGCACATTTTGGAGAGATATTTAGGTAGTTTCTATCACAATCAGTTCCTATCACTTCTCATGGCATTTTTGTAGTCACTACCCATGTCGCATTTGGAATAATTTTTGCTCTGGGGCAAATGATCCATTTGTAACTCTCAGAACGGAGGAAGGAAAAAAGAAATCCCATATGTATGCCTGCATTTACAGTAAGAAATCATATGCTCTGATTAAATTCTGTCAAGCTTTCTGCTGTGACTTAGCTTGATGTGGCCTGATCTAATAAGGCACATCACATGCCTTAAAAAAGTGCGTGGGGTTGCTTTTGTTTACAGTGCAATTTCTGGAAAACAGATCATCTGTTTATAAATTCCCTACCTTCCAAGGGTAGTAGTTCCATATGGCTCTTTACCATGCATGTTCACTGGGGAAAAACTACAGTTCCAGAACAGAAAATGTTGTCTTTTTCAGAAAAGGAAAATGGAAATCAAGTTGCATTATATTTCAAGTCACTTCAAAGAAAAAAGGACGCCACTGAAATTCTGGTTCACACTCAATTCACTTTCATTTACAATGTCTAGCCTTTAATCCCTTATAGGCTATATTTTTGAGTCCAACTCTTACTGGGAAACATATCTTGGCTCCCAGCTATAAAACCGTGATACATTTAGACCTAAGCCTCTTATGTGAGATTTTAAATGCTCATACTTTATAGGCAATTAAAGAAAGTCCCAGTGGCACGAAAAGATTGATGAGCTATAGCTGTCAGCAGCAGGCAAAGCATAACTAACGTGTTTGGCATCCCTTGGCCTCGAGACCTTAGATTTCCAATGCCTGTCTTATCATGTAGGAGATTTAAAAAGGAGCTGAACATCCAAATTAAGTGCTGAAGCAGTTATTTTCAAGCTTGACAAAAGGAATTGTAACAGGCCTCAGCTTCTGTGACCAAGGCATTTGGCCTAGCACAGGATGATGACTCACAGAACCTCAGAGATCAAGGCTAAGCAGATGTACATTTTAGAGTTTTGCTAACAAAAACCTGTGCTTCTGTATGCCTTGCTAGCAAGATTCAAACCCCTTGGCCTTTGGGAGGCAGTCCATCACTAGGCCCTATCCTCTGCTCTTGGAAACCTGTCTTCAGCAACAGGAGTCGTCAAAATCACGAAAATCACTCAGCAATATGATTTTCATCTGTTGGGTTACCTTTTGAATTGCCACTACCTGCCAATTTTACAAAAAGCTATAACCCACAGCCTTAATTTTTAGCCCTTACTGTCACGTCGTGTTCTGTATCTGCTATTTTTTTCCTTCACCGCTATCTGGAAGTTGGATTAATGTGCGTACATACCAACAAGAGCTTTTGAAAACACAGCAACTTACTTTTCTGGTATAGACCTTTCCCGCAGACGATGCGGAGGGACTGGGGGTGGCACATGTGGGGGTGGTAAAGGAGATGAGACCTTAAAGGCATCGGAGCTGCTGTCAGAAGCACTTTTAGACAACGGTCTGTATGTCTGTGTCTTTGCAGCTGGGTGTGCCTGAGCAGAGAAGGATGAACTGTAGCCACCTAATATAAAGCAAAAACAGAAATAGTCCCAATGTGAGAAAGAACTGGAATAAAATAAAGCATGGAATGCTACAAGAATCCACAGTTTATAAAGCTGCAAGGTTGTGAAAATGTGCAAACATTTTTGTAATATATATATGTATTTTTTATTTTTAAAAGTATATAGCTAGGAATTAAGTAATCCATGGTAATGCTTTTCAAATATTTGTATAAAACTACAATCACACAGGAGAACTACAGTAAAGGTGAAAGAAATTAATGATTACTTGTTTTTGAGGGGGAGGGAGAAGTTAATGGCTGTATGTATCTATCAGGGCTGTTAATGACAACCTGTTATTAACCTCAGGGCTCATCCTCGGTCTCTGTCTTTGTACATCCAGATTGAGGAGGACAGGTAGGAAAGGCACAATCATTACATAGTCTGAGTAATTACTGTTAGTTTGGAACAACCGTACAGTCAAGTATCTTGCACAGGATCATAGGTGTACATGATCATGAACAACTTGCACACACAAACACTCTCCATATTACACAAAAAGACTGTGAGAGAGCGCACACAATGCAAAACAAACACAGAAATGGAAGAACTGTGAATAGCATTTTTTGACAAAGCACTTTGGTTTTCTGCAGATAGTGTATTCACACTTCCAATTTTGGTGCTATTAAGTAATTTTACCACATAGCTATCATCTTCTGAAAGACATAGGAATTATATATCTATTACATATGTCTTTCTTGTGGTTAAACAGCACCAGCACCAGTGCCTATAGTAAGAATGAATGTGGTCAGAAAAGAGAAGCATCTTTATTAGGCACTCAGGGTATATTTTAAGACTTTTTGTCTTCCTATATATGTAATTAGTATCTGTACTTTCACACAGTAGGTCTCTCCTCATTTTGATTAGGAAAGGCTGTGTTGCTTACACTCACAAGTGAAAATAAATGCAGTGTAATCAGAAACTACAGTATTACAATGTATCCCATCTGCAGTAATAGAGGCCCACAGCTGTAATACATCAGCAAGAATGAAAACAAAATTAAACTTAGTTTCATTTGGGAAAAAAGGCCTGAAAAAAAACACCAACTGAGATCAAGCATGACGATAAAAAGATGACAAAAAGTGTTTATTAAAAAAGCAAGCACAAATAGTTAATTACTCCTGTTACTTGCTGACATTAACAAAAGAGCTGTTTGGAAGTGAGGAAATAATTCCTACCAGTACTGTATGAATATGCAGTATTATACATGTCTGTGTCGTCATCTACAAAAAGAAATATACATGTTACAGTAATGCAGTATGTGCTCGTTTATCACAGCAGCACAGCTTTCTTTTTGGAAATACAAACAGGCAATCAAGCGCTGTACTACTTTTCCTCATCTCTCGTGGGTGTTTTCTGAATTCTTTTTTTTCCCATTACACTTACCATAAAATAATTTTGCCATTTTATTAGCAAAATGTACCTTCTTGTCATGACACCTGTATTACATACTACTGGCTAGCACGAAACGTTAAGTTACAGCTGTTTATCCGCTCTTCTCCCATCTCTACCTCTACCGAGAGCTTTACTCTCCTCTTATTAGATACTACTAAATCTTCCTACCATGAAAATCAAACTCAAATATTTACCACGTGACTAGTGTTCAGGACAGATCTAAAAAGCCATAATTGTCTTGCTTACATTTCTTATTTTCCCACTAACAATCTGTTTGACCATGCTAAATACGAGTCCTACCTCAGCAGAATAAGGTCTCTTTCCTTCATGAGGGAAAATGAGCATGACTGTAGTTTATGCTGTTCCTTGGTGACAATCATGATAAAAGAAGTTAACTCTAAAGCTATAAATATCACCAAAGCTCTGTTTCAGCAAAACAAATAACACATTATATGGAAAAAATGCAATTCAAACAGAAAATGTATCCTCAAAACAGCCTGCATTGTTCTAACATGCAAACTGTCCAAAAATAAGGTGGTATGGCAAGAGACTTCCAGTGGCCAATTTCTCATCCCTCACACCAGAGATGAGGATTGCTTCACTGAGTTCCATAATGACACAGAATCACATTGGTTCCATGCTTACTTTGCTCACTTTAATATTTTTTTTTTATTTTTAGTAAAACAAAATAAACCCAATATAAGTAGACAGCCTCTAGCTGTCTCTCCACATCAGAATCTACCATCCAGTTCAGCCTTTTAATTTGATTCATTGTCTCACACTTGGTGAACATTTGCATTTTCATATGGCAGCTAATCAAAATGCAGAAAAGAGTACTTTTTAATACCACTGACAAGAACACAGCTAAGACAACAGCATACTTACCAGGCTTATGTACCATATGGATTTGCTTGAACATTGTCTTGTACCAATCCTTTGGCCTGTCAACTGTCTAAATAAAATATAGTTTTAAACAATTAACAAGGAATTAAAAATAATAAAGAAATAAAAATATCTATGTGGACAGATAAGACATTTAATGTTATTCTGGACATAGATTTAGATTTATCCTTCTTTGTCCCCTATTCAGTATAATCATTTTCATCTACTTCAAGTGGTGCATTTTTCCATCTCATCTAGGAATCCCTGTAACAAATTCTGGAAGGCATTTAAATTGACTCAGTTTGGAACTTCAATCTTGGAGAATACAATGCTTAGGAACACTGGAAGTGATGCCAGATCAAGAGTTATCTTCTTAGAGCCCTATATTTGACAAAGATGAATGCTGGGTACTACACAGGAAATACAAACAACTTGCCAATTACCAGTTTGTAAGAAGGGCTTTTTTTGAACTCCTAGCTATTTTCAACATACATTATCTTCAAAACATATTTATTAAATAGTGCATACCTACTTTGGAATACAACTGAGAAAAGAATTAAGGCAAAAATTATGTTTGGTAAACAAACAGCATTTATGCAGTTTTTAATTTCCCTTTCCAGGCAACTTATTCTTCTATTTCAAGAAGTGATAAAGAAGTGAACACAGTGTACCTTTTAATATCACTCATTAAATTGCACTTGTATTTTTACAGAAAACTACAGTCTCATATTTTCTAGTCTCTCCTGATGCTAACTTTTGCTTGTTTCTACTTATTTTATCCCTTACTCTTTTGTATTTCCTATTTTTGTCTTAACTTGCTTTGAGATACTGTTTCAGAAAAGGAAGCAACAAAAAAGGCAAACACTTTTTTAGTATTATTCTCTTTGATCATGAATCTTTACATGCTCCATAGCAATCAGAAAAGCAAAATGTTTAATGAATGTAATGAATCACACTTTTGCCTTAAATGCTTTATAAAGTTACTGTACATAATTAACAGTTAACTTTGGTGAACTATGCAGAAAACAATCACTTGTTTGAAGAATGAACATCAGTTCTCATGAAATTGCTACTAGATGATACTCCTCATCAGTACAGTTCTGCAGTGATCCATGCTGCCACAACTGCTTCTGTGTATTGGGCCAAGAAGGGTTTTCAAAAGAGCTTGAATCAGTGGCAGGGGAATAGATAGGAAACAATGCAAAAGTACTACTATTGTGACCCTGCTGTTTGTCAAGAGACAAAGATGAACTGATATCTCTTTGCCAGGCCTTCCTAATTTGTCAGTTGCTCCACACATTTACAGGAGGTTCCACACAGAGAGTAGGTGTGGAGAAGCTGACATGTAAGCACAGAAGCAGCTCTTCCAATACCTTTTTGTATGTTTGATCTTTTCAATCCCATCATCCCCACCCCATCCCAGACTCTGAGGTTCACAGCATCAGCCAATGATTTGGCTTTATGTTGTTTATGCTTATGCCAGGACTAGTTGAGGAACTGAATAAATTAGTTTTAAATTACACAATCTCACTTTATATTCTCTAATTGCCCATGCCAACCCTTGTTTGAGGAATTAGCAGTATTCATAGCCACCGAGTCACTCAGATGCATACAGCTGTTGCAATTAAAGGTTGGGAACATGTTATCACCACATGTGAGTGAACAATCAGCTGATTGTGAAATGAGGAGGACCTAAGAGGTGTCTGCAATTGGTACCCAGAAGACTCCATAATCACTTCAGTATTCAAATAATCCATCAGGAAGTATATGATTAAAGGAGGCACTTATGACTTTCAGTGGACCTTCTGAGTGGGGCACTTCTTTTTCCTAGCTGACACGCTACATCAGTAAGTACAGACAAAATATATGATTGGACTTCATTTTTTTCATTCTATTCAATAGAGGTCTTCTCAGCATACAGATTAATTTTGGAAGAAATGAAGCCAATTATTTTTTGATAGTCTCTAACAGTGCAGTCATATTGCTTTCCAAGATTTTTTTCCCCCCTTTTCTTCCCCTTTCCTAGATCCTGTCAGTGGTAAAGTCGAGTGCTGCCATTTGACTGAAAACTTTTTTGCCCTCTTTTCCAAAGACTTCATTTTTAATGCCTTGGAATGTCATCACCTTTGGGGCAGGGCTTGGCACAGAGGTAGAACTCAACAAGCTGAGTTTTCAGGCTTCAGGTTTTTTGCACTTGCTGGAGCTGACAGGAGCTACAGTAGTGCAGAGGTAACATCCTACCATGGGATAGGAGAGCTGTACAGCAACCCTTCCCTTTTCAGAACCTTTGGACCAAAGGTTTGCAGGAATATAAAGTGAAGAGAACATCTCTGCTTTCCTTGGCTAAGCAGCTGTCACTAACCATCTTCCAAGAGGAAATACGGACTTGCAGGAAACCAGCACAATGAAATCTGGAATACAGACACTCCAAGATTCTTATTTACAAGCTTCCTTTTTGCTTCTAACAGTAGCACAGTATTTGGGAATACAATACATATGTTATCTATCAACTCTGAATCTCCATTTACTGCTTTTTACATAGAATATGGCTGTTTTCATACAGATGGAAAAATGAGAAACTTTTAAACACTGGGTGCAACCATAAGTTCAATGAATTTGAAACCTTTTTTTCCTTCTGATGGTGTAAGTCTGAACCTTCTGAGAGAAGATTCCTGTTTGGATTGACTACTGGCATTGGAGAGAAAACAGGTGCTCCACACTACCTTCTGCTCCCGGGAAGTGCAGTTAGAGCACTTTTGCATATTTCTGCACAGTGCTGCACTTCTGTGAGATGTCAAAGTGCAGCATATTTGAGTCTTTTGCTGACAACTCTATTGCCTTTGTTCTCACATGACTGGAGTACACTGTGTTCAAATATATCTGTATACATTTAAAATGTAATTTCAAATCAATATGCTGAAAACTGAAAACTGCCTCACTTCCAGCTAGGTCTTAAAGAAGCAAAGTAAGGAGACAAAGTGGCATACAAGGCAGACGCACTCGCACAAGCTGGCATAATCTTTTAACTCACATCTCATCATCAGAATCAGCTCTACAATTCAAAGCTTAAAAAGACGCAAGACATTTTTAAATTGAAACAATCAAAAATGAAGAGCAAATCCAGCTGAGAAATGCCATAATTCAAATCACATTATATTTTCAGGAGAGTATCTCAGAGAAGCAGACCAATCTGAAAGTTAAATATAGGATGGCAGATTGCCAACTCTGTTAAGCATACTTGAGGGGGATTTCTGTTATACCCTTATATAACTAATATTCACGCTATTAGACCGATCTGCTATTTAAAAAAAAGGACAAAAATAATAACTTTCTCCCATGCACAACAAAGGGACATTCTTAGTTAAAGAAGGGGTAGGAACCTAGAGCATTAATGCAAAGAAATTGATTCATTTTTTAAACCTTGATTGTATTCCTTTCTATGTCAAAAATAAAGAAATGCCAGTTTCCCCCCATTCTTAACAAAATTGTCCCCATCTTACCACTCATTCTGAATTTCTCCTATTGCTTTTTTCCATCAGTTCTTGCTCTTCCCCCTAATTTTTCAATCCACTGAAGCAATTCCTGGCGATTACAACACAGCCCCATAAGTCAGCACTGGCAGAGAGGATACATCCAACGGCTGCTACATCCTTGCACCTCACAAAGACTTCACCTGCAAGGGCTCTGCTGCCTTCATCCTGGCTCCCACTCTTCTTTCTCTCCGTCTAGCACAGCACTGCTTCCAGCAGGGAAGGCCAGTAAGCACTTCCTCTACAGACCCAGCACAGCTGCCACTGTGCTCTCTGGACCAGCCAGAAGAGGCTGCCCTGACAGCAGAATGGAAAGAATGCTTCAGCAGAGAGAAAACAAACCTTCTCAGTCTGACATCCTGGGCCACTCTAGCCAGGGACTAGTGGCAGATGATAGGAACTGAGCTAGTCTCAATGAAGGGGTTTCTACTCTATTCGCCTACATGTCATCCAGAGGCATAGAGATCATGTTTTGCATGTGTGCAAAAATACAACTTTCTTAGATTACTGACCAAATGAAACTACATTATACTGATCAAGTAAAAACCACTGCTCCTCAGAATGCAGGAGTGTGAGATTTATATGTTGTACATACACAGATACACATGTATACTTGTACACATGCATAAACAGAGTACGTATACACTTTATTTTACTAATAACAAAGCAAACACAATTATTTCACATCTCCAGAAGGGAATACAAGAGAAGAGAGACAAAATTTTGATTAGTTCTAATTAAACCAGAAACATCAAGTTGCCCAATTACGTTCCCATCAGCATTCTCTTTTTCTGTCAACGCACAATATTATATTCATGAGCTGCCTGATTGCGCACACAGTATTCCACATTATATAAGAGTAGAAGAATGTGAAAAACCCATTACCAACAATCAATTCATTGTATGAGTTCATACGCAGATTCCCCAGAATTTCCTACCGTTCTAATTGCTGTAGGGATTCCAGATTCATCCACTGGGCCAATCCCTGCATAATGTGGAGCTTTAATGACTGTAATTTTTTTTTCTTCCTCTAAGGATTTACAGATTGGTATTGTACTGGTGGTGGTGCTGCTGCCAACATGTTGCGAGTATGTCTCTGTGGACTCTGTAAAGATAACATGAGAGGATAATGTATAACAACACAATAATCATTCTGGGCAATTGTAACACGCTGCCCAATTTCACTGTGGTTTGCAAAGATGGATAATAATTTTGAGAAACATATTCATATGTAACACTTCATAAGTGTTGGGGCTGAACCATAATCTTATTTACGGCTATCTAGCTCAGATTTTGGTAGATTAGATTGCAGTCACTTTTTTTTTTGCTGCAACTTGCTTGGGAAAAAAAAAAGAAAAAACCCACAAACCTAGCAAAATATACTGAGAAATAATAGGAGTAAAACCTTGTTGCTGTAAAACAAAATTCCATCTTACCTATCCATCCTTTGAAATAATGACAGAATTTCAAACTTCCCCTTCACAAAATTTAGCAGAATATATAATAATACATATACAGAAAATTACCATTCTGTCAGCACAGCATCAGATTTCAAACAGATCTCCAGAACAATCTATGTAATATGTGTTTAGAAACAAAGATTAAAAAAAACAAAACAAAACAAAACAAAGCAAATTTCTGTGTGTAATTTTCACCCTTCAGGTTACATTGGTCTGTTTAAATATCACTTTACATCATCCAGAGAATTGGCACTCAGCACTCAGAGCAACCTGATGATGCACTCATTTTCAGTGAATCTGCAGACTGCTGTGGTTCATGGTCATTGGCAATATTCCTAGCTCTCTCCCCCAAAACCTTCCTTGAAAATTAAATAATGTGTCACTATTACATCTCTCTATAAAATCCAGAGAGAGCAATTCATTTAATAAAAAACAAAACAAACCAAAACCAAAGAAACCCCACCCATCTCACTGCTGGGATGGATCACATGACAATTGTTGCTGCGTGTAGGAAGAAGAGCCCTGCTCCTACAGGCAGTATGTTTCAGTAAATCAGAGAGCTGCTATGACAAAGTGAGTTTTTTGTACTGTGCAAGCACAGGTGCAGCGCCTGCAAGACATGTCTACTGCAGGGTAAATGAATGGCAGGAATACAAATAAATATTCTGACACTGCTGGTGAAGATTATGATTTAACATGATTATCCTTAAGCAAAATAGTTGAATTGTAATATAAATCAGTGAAAGAAGCTCTGGTGACTGAAAGTGCTAATTTTAATTTGAATGTTTTGCCCATTGCTACTGCTGAGATTTGGCACGACTGCTTCAGCTGTTTACTCAAGTCTGAAGTCCTGCAAATAATCCAGTGCTACACATATATGGCGAGGGGCAACTCTACGTGGCACATGTCTAAATATTTGGGCCTTTTTCCCAAAATGCACAATACTAAATTTAGAAAACATTTGGTATTTGATCCCTCATTCTTTGTAGATGGCCTCAAACTAAGGCCATCAGTGGGATTTTACGTGAGCAAGGAGAATGAAATTAGATTGTTACTGTGGAAAACAAAACTTAAGCATCATACAAGAGTAAAAATCATGGGAAAACACATTCCTGGTATATCCAAAACAATATCAACATACTTTAAGTTCAACAAACTGTAAGCAATCAAAGGACATAGCACTTGAGTAAATGGAATAAACCCATGTGTGCAGTTTTTTGCATCTATCACTAAGACCTGGATAGCAGCATTTCTCTAAGTTGTAAGTCTCAGTGCCAGAAGTGCCACCTAATTTCTCTGCATGCACAACAAAAAAGTAAACTCCTGGATCATAATCAGATTGTTTTACATGTATACTCTTATCTGAATCTGCAAACTCTGGCAGAAAAAGAAGCAAGAAAATGATCGTACTGGCAAAACTAGATTATACTGTCAAAGCTCCTTTGTGAGGCTAATCATGCAAGTATTTAAGGGAAAAAAACAACAACTCAACAATGACCTACAAAAGTACATAAGTAAATTATAAATTGAGATGGCTTGAGGTGTTTAAAAGCTCAGGGCCTCCCCTTTGTTGGCAGTATTTCAACTGAAGCTTGTAGAGGTTGTGAGGAGAAGCAATGCACAAAACTGGTCTTTAGTTTCTTAAAGAGAGCAAAAGGAAACAGGCTCTGCAGGTTGAGCTGTTTCTATATATGCTCCCTTTTCCTCAGGAAAGCAAGTGGGAAAGTGGCAGGAGGTCACTCTCATAAACATAAGGACGAGTAATAAAACTTAAAAGTAACTCCAGTTCAGGAACTATTACATGTAAAAGTAAATTCTATTATCTTTTGCATTTACTTCCTAAGGAGATGAATAGACAATACCTGCATTATGGATGTGATGCCCTTTGCCATTGTTTGCAATTTTGGCCACATAAATTGGAATATGTTGTGTAATGTATAAAGGCTTACCCATCATCCTGCCATGCTGCATGATAACAAGGTTGGAATTGAGAGAAGCTGGTGGAGAGTAAGCGGAAGAAGGGGAAAAAGGCCTTTGAAAGTGACTCACTGGGCTGGCAGCAGTGCCAGAGTTCCCATTCACTGTGATCTGAGCCTGAGAGAGACAAAACAATATCCCATTAAATGACACACAAAGCCCTCTGAATGCCATCCCAAACAAAAAGTAATGTAAGACTGTCATCCATGCAAAACAATTACCACTTGTCAGGTATCATTATGGCATCTGCATTCTCTGAAATACAAAACACATCACCTGTGGAGCAGAACGCGTTCCTTTTATACACCTTGTATACGTACACACCTTGCACCTCCCCCCTTTGCTCCTTGTATGTGCAGCCTGTGAAGCATGATGATGGGAGGTGGCAGATGGGGCAGAGTCTAGGCAATAAAACTGAACTGCACAAACAAGATCTGACGTCAGAATAAAATGGAGATGGCAATAAAAATTCCTCTCATCACGTGACAAAGGCTGCCTGCTGTAGATCACTCACTCCAAAAAACACAGAATCATAGAATCATAGAATTGCTCAGATCGGAAAAGACCTTAAAGAACATCAAAGTCCAACCATGACCTAACCATACTACCCTAACTAACAACCCTCCACTAAATAATGTCCCTGAGCACCACATACAAATGGTTTTTAAACACATCCAGGGATGGTGACTCAACCACCTCCCTGGGGAGCCTATTCCAGTGCTTAACAACCCTTTCTGTAAAGAAGTTTTTCCTGATGTCCAACCTAAACTTACCCTGGCACAACTTGAGGAATAATAATGTTCCCATGATCCACATGCACCACCCCTATTGATATTAATGATACTTCTGAGCAGGCTGAATGGAAAAGTCTTATTACGAGTAGCTAAATTGAGTGAGCCATAGCTTCATTAAAAAAACAGTTTGGAATCCCTGCACCTGGGCTGTAATACTTCTATGGGGAGCATTGAAGGAATCAGACCAGAGATACCAAGAAAGCATATGGAGTGAAATAAGAGAGGGACGCTTTCTATCACATCTCTTCAAGTACATCTCTGTTTTAAATCTTAACAAAATCATGAGTGCTATAACCTGCTCAGTTTAATTTAACTAAAGAGAAGATCTAAAACAACATAAGCATTCAAAGTGAGGCTCTTTGAACACTGTAAATGTAAAACAGGAGACTATTTGAAGCTGCAAAGCGTAAGTAAATCCCATATTAAAAGACATATTATTATTGCATTTAAAAATGAAATGGTTCATGACCTCTTGTATAGATGCATGTTTTGGAAACTAGTAATTTGAATTTTTCAAACATCTCAGCCCCCGGTAGATAGTTGAGTGAAACCAAATTACTTTCTGTAAAAGTATCATGAAAACACAATGTACAGAAGTAGCTGATGGACATCAGTCACAAGTGCAAATGTGGAATGTCCAAATATGACATTTCTGAATTTGGTTTTAGAGAGGATAGCAGCTCAAATAGTACAATTTCTTAGTTCTTAATGACGTTCCCTTTAAAGAAAGTTTCCACTGTGGTCACTACTGAATTTATATATCTGAAGCATCTTGCATTGCTGGGAAAGTTCATTATAGGTCTATTTTGAGAAGTTTCAAGTTGCTTTTGATACTGATGCTGTTTCTTTTTGGGGGATCTATAAAATAAAATAGAATCTATATAATCTATAAAATCTTTACTCCCGAGCTCTCACTAAGGGCCTCAAGAATAAACAGATCTCCTCAAATTGGAAATGTTTTTGAAAGTGTGGCTCCAGCTTATGTGGTGGATGGCACACCCCTATGCTGCTTTTATTGTTCTCTCAGTGGTTTTCATCAACACAATGAATCAATGTCTTCTTTGAGAATGAAGATTATTCAAGTATCATTACAGCCACTAGCAGCATCTTTGCTTGTATGCATGTGCCACCAGCTTGTCTCTCATCTTCTCATTTCATAGATAAGTACGCAGCCATCTAGCCCTCCTCTACAGAGGAAAGGAAACAAAGATCTTTTGCAATGCAGAGGTCTGCCTTGACAGTAGTTTAATCTCGCTATGGGGCACTTTGGATTGTTTAGGGAGCATTATCTTTTGGTGGGAGACTCATCCATTCTCTGTGTAAATTTAGTAGTGAAACATGTTCATTTGTCTAGTCATATCTAGAAGAGAAAGTGATGGCCAAGATAATAATAGATATCTCTACAGGGAAACTATTCAAAAAAGGAAAAAGGGAAGGATTATTCACTTTGTAAAACAAACATAGGGATTGTTTTTGATGCAGGTTAGAAGAAAATATAGATGTTCCAGGCTTTCTGTAACTCATCCTATGGTGATTGTGCCTTATTTACATACACCTCTCTATATTGATCATGGTATCTTTCATTACAACAACTGGACAGCATGCAGATTAACATCACTGACTCTTCTTAAAATTTTAGGTTTCGAAGATGTGTTAACAATCAGAGCATTTATATGCCTGATATTATTTTTTTAAACAGCATTCACTGAACTGACTACAGGTTATTGACTCTATCTGCATGTTTGGGCTCAACTACATTCTAGAAAACATATATGAAATGCAAAAAAATTATACACTGTTCCTTTTCAGAATTTTAAGTGCTACATTTGGACTGGAAAATGATAGCATGCTGAAGTATTTGTACAAAGTTGAAATGCTGTTGTTACACAGTAAAACTTTGGTCTCAGAACATTTCTCAGTTTTGTAGTTCAGCAACAAATTACTCACTCTAAATGAAAACTCTGTTCTGACTCATTTTGGTCATGTAAATAATCTCAAAAGAAATGAAAAGTGATCTGGATTTGGCCTAAATTCTATAAATTCTCTCTACCCATATCTGAGTGTACTAAGGTACAGAATAGTGAACATATACACAAATCGCAATTGTATGCTGCTGTTTTCCTTGAGTTAGATAAGAGAAAAGTAACAGGACACTTGAATGCTAGAAACTTATTTCTGAAGTTCACTCCTGTAAGAAACAATGCTTAAGAGAGGGAAAGGTCAGTTAAAGGAGAGAAAAAAAGCTTCATGCAGTCAGTGGTCATGGCTGGGGGAAAAAACGTGTTAAGCATTGCCAACATTTACTACAAATTTACAGGTTATACTAATGAAATCTCTACGCTGCTATAAGCCAAAAAAATGGTGGCAGCCAACAGGCTACACCTCCACAAACCTGTAAGTTGCTAACAGTACTTTAAATGCATCTCACCAAAATTTACAGATCACTTGCTTCCATTGCATTTGGAATGAATATTTATTGAATTTACTCTCATTTCTTGCAAGCAAAATGTTTGATGCACCTTGGACAACAACATGGATGTGCAACAACTTCATACCATTTTCCTGTCTATTACCAAAACTGATATGCAAATTATTTGTTTAAACAACTGTTACAAAGCATACTTCAGACTGTGAATACAGGAAACTTAACAGAATACTTGTTTATGCAATGGGTTAACAGACAAGTTTGAATTCTTTTCCCCTTTGACAACCTGCAAACAAAATGGAGCAGGAAAAAAGGAAGGATAATTACATTGGAAGTGGCGGCAGTGTTGGTTAAGGTGGTGCCATCTGACACAGCAGACATCTGGCTCAAGGTTGGGGAAGGTGTTTCAGAGCAGTCAGTAGTATCATAGCTACAAGTCTGCAGCTCATCTAGAATGACTGTGGAGGACTCACTCGTGCGGGAGGAGCACTCACTCATGGCAGAATCTGTGCTTACAGAGGCTGTTTCATTCTTGTGGATAGTATTTTCAGAAGCTAGGAATGGGCATTTATATGAAAACTGTGAAAGGGCTGGGGTTTTATAAAAGCGTGAAAAATCATCAAGCGTTGGCAAAGAATATGGTACTAGATGGGTGCCACTGTCTGGTGAGAAAGAGGCTCTGTTAACTGGTACCACAGGAGGAGGAAGAGGCAGTGGAGAAGCTTCTGTTGTTGTTTGTCTGTGTGTCTGTGAAGCATTTACCTCCATCACAGGGGCAGTTACTTTCTGGTTTCCAAGCTGAGATTTGAGGAAAAAAAAAATAAGAAAGAAACAGATTACCAAATGAATAAATTTTTTTTCCCTTTGCCTCTTGTTGTGTGTAGGAAAATTACAAAAGCGTAAGTTTTTTTAGCAGCCCTAGGAAGTTCACATTCACATGGATTAGGAAATAGATCAACAACACTCTACATTAAAGTACGAAAACATGAAGAAAATTAATGTATCGAATACTATTGGAAGCAATGCCAGAAACCGTAGTGCATGGGGGATGAACATTCCATATATTCCACAATGTATTCCATAATTAATAACACTATTAAAAAAAAATGAGGCTAGAGAACATAATTTTCCTTTTGTTTATAAAAGGAAAAAGGCATATGCAAGTCTGATCTCCATTAATGTTGCTCCTTTTTTTTTTTTTTTTTGGTCAAAATACAGGTATCAGTTTGAAATTAATATTAAGGTACAGATGGGTAGGACCACAAGCTAAAAAGTAGTGCTAGTATTGAATGTTCACATTGCCTGTAAGATTGTCTATTTATTTTTGCCTCTTTTGATTGAATACATCTTCTCCACTGCCTCACTAATAAAAACGTTTGGAAGATCTTAGAATTTCCAAGCACTCTGGAAGCACCCTGTCAGCCTCCTGGATAAGGTGTAAGTATAGCTGCCTTTTCAACATTAGAGAGCTATAGGATTGTTAGGGTATTGGATATAATTTGAGGAAGGGTAAGGGTTGGGAACACAAGTACAGGACAGGGATGATTTAACACTGAAACAAAACACACTGCCTAGCTGGCTTCAGCATCATTCCTTAAAAGCACTTGGGAATATCCTCACGAGAGACCTTCTGAGAATTACCACATTACAAACTTTATATTCTGATATTTCATATCAGACACAGGCACTGTGTTTAAAACTTTCCTGAACCTGGCTTTTTGTATCTGTAACTTGTTTTTGAATTAAAGGTATGAGAAAAGCATGTTGGTACCCAACCTTTGGTAATTGTACAGTTTTTTGTATACTACATATCAGCCACAAATTATCCATCAGTTTTGGAAATATATCAAAATGCTGCTTACTTCAGCACAGAGCTGACAAGTTCTGGAATAGCTGCAGTGAAAGAACGTTTGGGATTTTGATTTATTTAAAACAAAGGGCACTGGGATGCCATATACAGCAATTACTAGTTTAAAAAGCAACATTTACTCACAAATACCACATTGTTATTGATAACATTAGTATTTTAAAAAGCAACATTTACTCACAAATACCACATTGTTACTGATAACATTAGTATTTTTTTCTGTGCTTGACATACGCAGATGTCTTTAATCATTTGAAAATGTTCTAAGTCATCAGATTAAAATGCCATTTTGGCATTTTAATCCACAATCTGAAACTATCTTTTAAAGCCTTTATAGAAGACTTGGAATGTAATTCAGATTATGCTACTTATAAGAGGTCACTGGGGATCCAGTCCCATAATGATCTTGCTGAGATCAACTAAAAATTACGGAAATAATCTTACTGAGGTCAACAGGACCATCCCTCTGAATGAGCATTTCAGAAATGATTTTGAAGCACATCCAAGAGATACCCATCACTTCTTTCAAAGGGTTCAGAAGAACTGTTTGGCATTATTGGATCTATAGGGTACATAAAGATAGCCAGAATTTGCTGGCAAAATTAGAAGTTAAAACAGTAAGAAACAAAAGCCTCTAGTTGAACAGCTTGAAATTTAAACCTTATTCACAATAATGAAATCTACAGCATAAAAAATAAAAACAATTTTAAAAAAATCCATAGAGCAAGTCTGAAGGCTACATCTTATTTAGAAAAGTCAATTATTGAGTGGATGACTGTAAAAGGAAATACGGTTTTTAGAGATAATTATTTCACCACTGGAAACTTCAAAAGAACAACAGAATACTATCAAGTTATCACAAAAAGCAATCATACACACATGCAAAACAGCTGCTTATACAGCAAAATTATCAGGGACTTAAGTTATCTGCATTTATGTACTCATATAAGACACAGTAATTTCACCCTTAGACACATAAAGGGAAAACAGAAGGATGCCTCATTATGGATTTCATCATCCAAGTCACAGTTCAATATCTTCAGCAAAAGACATGAACCAAGAAATAAATGAGGCAAAGCCAGCATGAATTGGAAGTTCTTGACATAGATGTCCTCTCTGCATCCCCAGGGGAAAAAATGCATGTCACTGAGCTATAATATTTAAGTTGATCACTGAACTGCTGAAACAAAAAGCAACTGTACATAATCAATAAACCTAGTAAGCTTTCTGGCTTCAGATGATTACCTGCATGCTTGAAGTAGGGATGGACAACACAAGGAAAGATATTCAGGGTGCATCCAGAGAGCAAGTGAAACTGAATTCTTAAATAATTAAATTCATTGTTCTTGGCAAATCTTAGCTGATTTCATTGAGGTACATTCTTAAATAGAAGATAACATGGGTGGAAGGAATACAGCAATTCCAGATACTGATTCCCAACATGAAGATTTTCAGCTTTGTAGGATAAAATTGGAATATTCTGACTGACTCCAGAATTCTGTCATAGAGATAGTCATCACTCTGAGGCAGAGTGGATGAAATGTTGACTGAAAACAACAGTATTAAAAAAAAAAACAACAACAAAACAAAACAAAAAAAACCCCACAAAACAACAAAACAATAAAAAACTTGATCTCTCTCAACATGGAGTGTTGGTAAACACTAAATAACAGATATATTTAGCTACTACTAAATCCATATTTGTCATGACTGTGAAGAATATGAGAAAGACAAGGCTGAATGCATTTTAAAAAAACATCTTTTACGACCAGTTCCATCAGTTTAAGTTTGTTATTTTTATAGCCCAAGAAATGGAAGAAGTCATCAGGTGGATTACTGGCTGAACAATTCATTTTATCAATTAGAATGATGAAAAATTAGACTACATAATTCTCTTGGTCTATGGAGCAACATCTGAGAGATAAATATCAACACAGTCTTGAAGTCAATTGAAGGTCTCAAGCAGAGCTTTCAATTGGTACTCAGAAACATTTACCTTCTATCAAATACTAGAATGTCAGGCCTGAAACTTTCAGTTTCCAGCTGATTCACATAAAGTAGACAGATGTTCCTACTATAAACTTCATAACCAATCATCTGTCATTTTAATTCAAGATTTGTGGACTAGTGCAAGGTTACTAATGACACCAAAGCACTGGCCTTGCTTCAACAATCAAGACACAGATAGGGAGGATGAGTGAATAAATTCATTTTGTTAATGCATAGCAGAGTTTAGTAATCAACATTCAAATTACACTCATACACTTGTACAAATGGGTAAAAATACCTCTAAGACGGTGTCAAAATCTTGAAACTGATGCTGCAAGTTACATTCCTGTGTCCATTTTTACTAACTAATCCTCTTATTCTAAACTCAATGTGTGGAGATGATTCAGCCCTTGTGCAAAACAGTTTTACAGAAGAGAAAAGGAAAATTATGTGCTTGTTTTTCTTTGCTTGCCATCTGTCCCTGACACACAGAAATCTGTCTCCTCACCCTCAACAATACTCAGTACATCATCAAGAACTACCAAACAGTATCTGTATTAGATAAAGCTTTTCAGTAAAAATAGTGAATTACAAGTTTATTTTCATAGATTCATTTATCTACAGCTATGGGGCTGGCCAAATAAATACATTCATAAACATTTAGCCTTTACTTATCCATAACATAAGTGCTAAACTAAGACTTCAGTCATCTGTGGAATTCAAGAAAACAGAACAAATGTTTTGCATCTTCAATTTTACAGAGAGGTATGTAGAGCAAGATAGCACTCATGAACGTGGGCACAAAATGAAGATTAAAAACATTAGGTGTTTATGCCAGAAGAGGCAGCTCAGAGTTCTTCATGAGTTAAAAATCTTTGCTTATTAGAAATGTGGATAATGAAACTTATGCTGTCTCATACTAACAAGCACTGATTTCTCTGTTGAAAGAGATTGGGATATTTCTCTCACATTTGCAGAACAGCACAAAGTGGCAGGATCTCACAAGGTTTTAAGTAATATTAAAAAACAACAACAACAACAAAAACACAACCCACAACAATATCGAGCAATTTGAATGCTCCTCTTTTCACACATGCTTTTAAGGGGTTTAACCCCTCTCTGAGTAGGAGTGTTTGTAAAATGTCGCTTGGTGAGTCATACCACACTTCTGCTTGCTCCTGGAGTTTCAGTAGATGAAAGGAAGTGCAAACAGAAGAACAGACATAACAAGAGAAATTAAAGAATAATGAAAGAATAATGAAAAATTCCATGAACTTGTTGAGCCATATAGGCTCTCTCATTTTTACAGCTGGCTGAATCTTTGTGTATTTTGGCGCTATCATATAGAATGTACACGTGCTATACACACATATGTACCCACACATGCACAGCATTTCTCCACTTCCATTGCAAGAACCCACTGGCTCCATGTTTGGATCCTGATATGGTATATAAACATAGCAATGTTTAGAATTTATCTCAGTTTTGAACATCAGGAATGATGTCAACTGAATTCTGCAGGCAAGCAAAGAATAAATGGATGCACCTTGGAAGGCTATGTTCCTTGATGATCTCTGTGATCTGCTCAATTTTTTTGTTATTTTATTCAAAAAACCCCAGTTGACAAATTTCTGATTGTTCTTCCCACACACTGAGAATACAGGAAAATAAGTGTAGAATTGTCAAGTAAGTCACAACTATTTTTGACATTTGTCAGCCCACTGTAAAACAAAAATAAGTTCTAAAATAAAAAGAACTGCAAATTGTATTTTGACTTCTAAAATTCTAATAAAAAAGCTAAAAGATAACTTATTTATGATCATTTGGATCATTTGAGTATTACTTTGGATGTTAAAAAAGATATTTTTCTTAATAAGCGTTAGCTGTTGTAATACCACTTTTGTTTGAGAGAAGGTGGTTTATTTGAGAATATGCAAAGCACCACATTGTGAACAGGACAAACAACTATTTTTAAGTGAAAAGAAAACATACAAATGCTCAAGTTACACTGGCTACACCCACATCAGTTCCACAGTCTGATAGCTTCTCTCAATGCTTGTGTTTTCAAAGGCTTGCAAGTCTCTGTCCTATAATTTTTGGGCCTAACCCAGCTACCATGAAAATATCGTGCTCAGCCTTGCTCTTTCTGACATGATTTCTTTATTGTGAGTCTTGAACAGGAAACACTAAATAGTGAACTGGCTCTTTTCAAGGACAAAGCAACCTGTTTTTCCTTAAGTACTCTAAATAATGCATATTTCAATAGAATAGTTTTGACAATAGTTTTATCTCTAATCTCAAGAAGGACAAATTTCACTGCAAGTCTTATGTGCTTCAAGTGGTTGATGGAATGGTTAATTCAAAAACAGCACTGCAAATTGTTGACCAATAATTTCACAGAGCTTTGCTCAGATCAAAATTCCCACTTCAACTTGAAGAAAATTGACACATTACAAATTGTTCAACTATTCTACAGCTAACGTAGAAAATTTTGGCTTCCACAGTAAAGACCTGATTAAGCATGATGCTTTCAAAGAACAAGATATATTACTTTGTCGACACAGTGCTGTCAGTGGGCTTCAAGTTTGCACGATTGTGTCATTTTACTTCAAAGTAGACACACTGATGTTGGCAAAACTTGACAAACACAAATATGCTGTGATGGGATCCTGGCTTAGACTAAAGCTGTGAAGCAGATATGCTTAAACCTACAGCAATCCCTACCAACTATCTGAAGGGTTTTCAAACTCAGATAACCTAGTACACTGGTAAATAAAAAAGAAAATTCTTAATGTGACTAGGTAATGCAGAGAAGAAAGTTTATCCATAGATGTTTTTTTTTTTTTGCAAGTACATATTTCTTTTGTATTATTCCTTCCAGGCCTATTTTACCTGATTAATTAACTTTCAGAATGGTAATAAACCCTGCTAACTCTTCTAGTCCCTAGGAAGCTTTTTCCATCTTTTCTAAGACCTAGCTATCTGCCCCCTGAACCACATGGCAATCTTTCAGTATAGGCTATAGTTCCTCAGTAGCCTAGTATGACTCTTATCCACTGCAACCAACAATCATGGGAACTTATTTTTTAATCCTTGAACATGTTTTATTACTGTTCATCAAAAAATGCTAACATCCCTTCCCCTCCCTAGTATGCACCTGATCTAGCTACTCTAAGAGGACTGTAACCAAGAAATAAGGAAAAGTGCTGTCTGTCAAATGCTGCAGATTTGATTAAGATTTTTGAATATATATATATTTTTCCCAGTAAATACCAGGATTACTAGAGATGTTTTAAAAACTTGTGTCTTTAAGGTAACAAATAATAATAGACAAGAACCACACAGGCTGCTTGCCATAATTCATATCACTGATGCATAGTAAAATACATTCCCAAGAGAAATCACTCCCACAGGTGATTTAAGAAAAAAAAAAAGATTATTTGACATGTACATGAAAAGTGATCCTCCTATTATTACTTACTACGATGCTTGATAGCATCTCTTCATACACAAGATAGAGTTGCTTCTGTGAGACTGCTGGCTATACTACGTTCTTGATATCCACATTTCTCCTGAATGAGATCAGTACAGAATTTTCATCTCAATAGGCACAGGGTTTGCAGGAAACAGAAGGATTTAGAAATGCCTTGCCTTGTTTGTAGAGGTGGTTGACTTAAAAGACTTAACCAATCATACAGGACACTAAGAAGACAGCAAGGATTGCCCTGCTGAAAACACTTAGAAAACTATTTGGTGGCTCTAGGAAACTGCCAGAGTTGCATTTGCAGAAAAAAACAACAACCATTTCCTACCCATATGCTATCCTTCCACAGCAACTATGTCAACAGAGTGTTTTAATGATGCAACTTCTCAACCTACCATTCACTAATTTCCTATTGTGCGTTTGCACTCCATAAAGTTCTCACAGAGGAACAAGGAAGTCTACTTTCCAGCTCAGTTGCCTTTTCTTTTTCTTATTTTTCGGGTACAATATACTTCCCAAAAACTACGTTTTGCTCAGTTCTAGTTTGATTCATGTGACAGGTAGTTTTACCCAGAAAACAGAAGGTCTAACTTTGATAATGTAAGTATAACTAAAGAGAGTTAAGTGATTCATGAATTATCTAAAATAAAATATGGAAAAATTAAATATACCACACGGCATTCTGCAGCCTGTGAAGAAGGAAGAACTGTAGACTTTTGTCCCACATCCTTTGAAGACATCTTTGAAGTGTCTGGAGAAATACTAGGTGGATGTTCTTGGATTTCAGGCTCTGCATTATTGTCAGGGATGGGAGCTATCTGAATGGAAAGAGATGCTGTGTGTATCTCAGACATGGGGTTACAGGCAGGTGAGACAGGCCTTTGTGAAAATATTGGCACTTCAACAGGCTTGAGCTGTTGCTGTATATTACAGTGAACACCACTTGCTGGGTCTTGTGTCCGGGTTAATTTAAGGGTAGACACCCTCCGCTTTTGAGACTGCTGCGTTTGGCCTTGATGGAGAGTGGCACTAATACCAGCTACTGCGCTTGTGCCTGCACTGGAGATAGCGGTCAGCGGTCTAGTGATTGTTTGTACATAGGACACATTCGTGTTAGATATCTGAGAAGATATTATCTTCTGGGCAGACTTCTCGTTAGTGTAATAGCCAGTATCTGTAGGAGGGTGTTTAGCTGGCTCAGTTGTTACTGTCTGGAGATTAATTGCATTCTTGTGATTAGTTACTCTTGCTTTCTGAAAGCTTTCTTTTCTAGGAGGTGGCAGAGGTGCCTTATTTGCCAAAATCATCCACACAGAGCAAAATAACATTGAAGAAGAAACAGAAAGAAAGTAAATGTTAGCAGGAGATATATTGTAGTTTGAATTCTATCTTTAAATAAAGAAACTAAGACCTTAGGCATTTACTCAAGATTGTTAATACTATGGAAAACAGAACAACTCAGGTTCCCACCGTCTTTTGCTGTAGGGGGCTGAACAATTTGTATTTAGAAAACTAGATGTTCCATTTGCTCAGAGTAAACTGGAATCAGACCCCAGGAAAGAGTCTCTCTTTTCTTTAAAAATCACAATTATTACAGTGAAAAAAAAAAAATTAAAACTGTGGAATCCTTCATGATACTCTCCAAAATGAATTATATGATTTTAGATGACAACCTATTAGTCACAGGTAATGCACATAAATACCACACACCTCCTAAAGCTCTGAATTAAATAGTTACAGAAACAGATCTGACACTGGTCTGTTGGTTCTTTTTTGAACAAATTAATGTGTTTGCACATTAAGTGCCTTCTAATCACATTGTTCAGCAAAACAAAAAAGCAGAAATACTATCTTATAATTAAAAAACCTTTATCCTCCAATATTTTGATAACCAGTGTACTATTTATTTTAGTGTAAAATTGTAATAAGTATTATTTGAAGTTTGGGAATACTCCTAGAAAACTGTGATTCACACTATCTGGAAGAAAAAACTTCCCCATAGGGATATCCCATCTGTATATGGTGTCCAGAATAACACACACACGAATGCTGAAGAATGAAATCTGGTATGCTCAGTTTTACCTGAGTTGGTGATTTTTTGTCCTGTAGGTTTGGCCGCACACTTCTAAAACCTTTTGCTGTAAGAGATGAACTGCTAATGTCTCCATTCAGTGTCTCTCTGCTTCCATCATTGTAAGCTCTCCAAGCTTTTGTGAGGAAAAAAAAAAAAAATCACATTTTTTTTGATGATTACTAGATCCAGATATTGCAGTCATTACAACAAACCAACTGTATGCAAACATGGAAATATTTCTCTATTACACAACTAGAACTACTGCTGATATTTCCATGGACTCCAAGAATAGAGCTAAAGCTGTAACTTTGCAAATATTTGTATCTTATTTATATCAGTACTGTTCGTAGCAGTTTGTTAGCTCCCTACAACGTTCTTATATACTGTAGATGTTCAGCTTAGGAGTCCTTTTGAGATCCTGGTGGTTTATCCCTAGTGTAAAGCAGACTGAAATATTCTTTCAGGTTAGGTTCTTGATCTTCACAGCTAGATTTCAAAAAACATCCCAGCTCAAAAAAGTCACTACCTGATCATTTGCTCCAATCTTTTCAAATCTGAACACCATCTCAGTTTTCCATAGCATAGTTTGTCTTTATTATAAGAGCTAAACATCCAAAAGGACACTGTCCAAATACATGGAAGATACTACACTACCTCAACAGGTTACTGATTTGAAGACAAAATATTGAAGAAAGAGCCTGGGATAAGAAACACATTGTGTGAGTAGGCTGCTAAGTGGGGTGGGTGGAACTTGTAATCCTAAGTAAGAGACTAAAAATGATATAACAAGTCCCACTGAAGCTGAAGGTGACAAATTAGCAGTCTGTGTGCTCCCACGCAACTCATTTTCTGACAACATACACTGTTATAGGAAATACTGCTTCCCAAGTGAGACCTTAATTTGAGGTCTTAACCAACCATTATTATTACAAATTCAATGCTACTTTCCTTAACGATTCTATATATATGAAGTGGTGAAATCAAAGGAAGGAAAATTGTTATATTTTATCCTGTTAACAAGATATTACAATGATTCATAAATATTGCTGTTTTATTTACCTGAATCTGGAGACTGAGAATCAGATCCTAAAATCAAGAAAGAACAAATATTAGCTTGTCTTATAAATGCTTGGAGTGTCTTAACGTGCAGCTAAGCTCACAGAGTTAATTTTATAAGTTATGTTAAAGAAAAAACAAAACCCAAACAACACAGTGACTCAGTATTCAATGATGCCAAGAGATACATGTATGCTTCTATTAATTGGTCTGTTGCCATGTCTCTGCAGATAAAAGTATTGAATTAAATGGCATCATAGTGATCTTGTTTTTGAGATCAGATCAGAAAAACAGCAAAACATCTGGTCCATACTGCTACACCAATTTATTTAAATAATTAAGCTGCTGATACAATCAGTAAAAAATCATTATGAATACAAGGTTTTATTTTAAGGATCTTACTGAGAATTATGTATCTATATATTAATTTTTACTGCCTGCAATAGATGCAGTTAGCAAAAGAATCTGCCTATGAAAGCAACTAGCATATGTGAGCCTTTCTGATGCTGCCTATGGGAAAAACGTAGCTATGGTCCCCCTCCCCGTCCCTCACTTCACATCTCCAGCTGTCTATATAGATGCATTCTTATGAACAGATCATCACCTCGTTTCCTTTCTATTAAGGCCAAGTGTCTTCCAGGACTATGGGAGTATTTGCAATTGTATAAACAAATCTTGCTTAAGAAATATTTGAGAATCAATATAAGATAAATTTAAGAAATATTTAAGAAGTATTTGAAAGTCTCTAAAAAGCTAGTTTTGAATAAAACCTCTCTAGTAATTTTTTTTTTCCTCATAACACAGTTTAGAAACTCTGTAAAGTATGCAGCTATTCTTTTGCCCAGTTACCTGAATCCCTTCCTTAATTATGCCTCAAAATAGTATACTATGTATAATTAATGTTTACTGTAGAAGTTCTACAGTGTGCTAAAAGTTGTTAATTAATTACTGCTATTTCAGACAGCCAACAATACATATTTGCTATCTTTTTTTTTTCTTTCAATACATACTGAGGTCTACTACCATTTAAAATCTTGATATCAGAAGAAATACATTCTTTTAAGATCAGCTGAAAAGTTTTAATTCAAAACCAAGAAAGATGTCTACAGGTTGTCAGGCTGGCTCTCTGAAATTTATGCTCATTGAACTTCATGTATTATATTCACTGTGAACACTTAATGTTTATATTGGTATAAATTAGCCTACAACACTTGAGATTCTTTACGGATTTATACTTACAACTACTTAATTCATGTTTGAATCTGGACAGCTGACACCCATTAAGATTTCATCTTGTGAAATCAGACAGAAAAATGCTAAGCAGCAGCTCTCCCTACTGAATGCTTTCTATGGTTTTATTGTTCCACACATTTTTAGGAAAACATTTCATAAATGTTTTAAAATTATTCTGGCTTCTGATGATCATTGCACCATTGCACACAGATTCTTTTAGGAGCAGTTCTAAAGCCAGTTGTAATAAACATCCTCTCTTCATGCTGTATTATTTTGTAAAACAATGGGGGACACGAGACCCAAAATCTGTGTTATGTACCAAAGGCAAAGTTAATTTTACAAAAAAAAACAAAACAAAACAAAACCAAAAAAACCCCACTTCTTCCTAACTGTTTCTATTTTTTTTTTCCATCAATGACTAAAGAATACAGGCAGAAAAAAATAAAAACTACTTTCTAAAGAGCATTGTAGAACTAAGGAAAATACCTGTCAGTAGAATAGAAAATATGGTTACCATTCCCCTCATTGCAGAGTAATACTGTAGACAAATGTAATGCTACAGAATGCCATTCATGAGCAGTATCTTACTGTTAGTTGTTATACCTGAAGCCAGTAGGTTTGGAGAGCTCTGAACCCTCTTCACAGATGTTAATGTGACAGACATTGCAGCACGTTTGCGAGCACAACCACCGCTATCTGGAAGCACAAAATAATACAGACACCAGCCCCAGACAAAGGAAGCAAGCACATGCAACACATCACAGTGTGAGATACGCCAAACATACGAGAAAATAAACATGCAATTAGAGAAATGCTGCAGGTACACGTAAATTCATGAGTTCCACAGATTAGCAGAATACATAAACTTTCACAAGCTTTAAGAAACAATAAACCTCATACAAAATAAGAAAGCAAGTACCTAATACTAAAGTCACTATGGAAATACACATGTCCAGTTGCCTAGAAAACTGCTTAATTATACCCAATAATTGAAAAAACAAACAAGTAATCAAGATAAAGGATTAAGCATTCCAGAGTAATATTAATCAATAATCTGCACTGTAAAATAATTTCATTGTATGCATTAGAAAGACACCATTCATCAAACTAAGCCTATGTTGATAAGCTGACAAAGTACTTCTGTATGGCCCTTCAGACACTCTAAACACAAAAAACAAACTAATTAAGGATGGCATGCATTACTTTGATTCAGAGAGAAGTCCCTTTTTTTTTTTTTTTTTTTTTTTTTGTTTTTTTTTGTTTTGTTTTGTTTTAAATTTAATGGAAGATAAACACATGCATGTCTGGAACCAAACTATACTTCAAGGGAAAGACTTGAAATATAAATCTGAAATATGTCTGAACAACTAGCAGTATGAAAAACCTTTCTTCTGGAACTGGCTCTCCTTTTTTTCTTTCCTCCCTCACTTGGGGCTGTCATTCTGTCTTTAGCAGAACTTTGTTTCATAAAGAGGAGGCTTTCCTACAACATGCTTTCTTAGAAACTCCTTCATAATTATCAAAGGTTAGTAAATATCCTTCTTGATTATTTCTCCAGACTATTTTTCTGCACTTCAACATAATCATTATTTTAATTTTTGTATTTTATAATACTGAAGTTTCATGTAGGCCACCACTTCTGACAAACTACAACTTTGATAGAGGCCCTATGATTTTTGCATGTGTCCTGTAAGAGGGAGTTATATAAAATTATATTTAAGGGAGGCCTACAACCTATTAGTGGAAAGGATTTCCTATAACGGTAATTTGAGCAACAGAGAAGACATCTTAAACCAATCTCCCAGAGAAGTGAGCTGCAGGTATTTCCTTGCTCATTCCAGCATTCCCCCAAAATAGCAAGGATACACATTAAGCAGTTGTTAATGCAGACAAACATCTGAGTCACTGCCCCAGGTGTCAGGGGTTCTAAAGAGCCTCTGCCAGCTCCAAGTCTGGAGGCAAAGGGCCAGATGATTTCAGATGATTTTAGTCAGCAACAGCCTAATGCATTACATTAACTGATATTAATTATTGGTAGTAGACTTGGGAAACAGAAATTGGTTATCAATTTATTTTAATTTACTTACATAAACATAGCATAGCAATGGTAACAAAAATCACATTTTCCGTTCTTGTATCATTCTTCCTACTGACATAAAGTGGAAATAATTCCAGGGAGACTTGACAATTTGCTGATAATGACTTTTTGTTTTTATCTGAATATGGGCAGACTTCAGCAACACATTTATGTCATTAATACAAGCTGCCGCTTTTTCTTTTTAATTCAAACTAATGCTTTATTTGTATTTTTCAAGAGCTACCTTTTTGATTTTCAGCATAGAAAAGCTAATGCAGGAGAAAAGGAGGAGGAGACCAACTACAAATATTTAGTCAATATAACTTCTACGAATTCTGCTTCAAATTCATTTCTAATGTAACTGAACAGAGTCACAATTTTGTATTAGTAGACACATAATCTAGCAAAAGATTTGACAGCTTCACACAGGATAGATAAAAGAGGCTTTGCAATAGACTATATGCATATTCATACACCATTTACCACTCTATATAGAAGCCACCCCTCCAAATCCATACCTGCTATAACATTCTCAGTACATGTACACAATAATGGCAGAGAGTTGCTTTGCGCTCAGGTGAGATACAACCACACAAGCGTACTGCCTTCAGTTGTGCAACATATGTGATCAAACATGAACAATTATGGACAAATACATATTTGTGCCTTATGGATTCCTTCTTCCTATCTTTGTCCAGGCCAAGCTCCCATAAATCAAGGGCATCTGGATGAAGATCAGAAGAATCTATGTGGTACTGCAAAAAGATCCAGATCTACATGGCCTTACACAGCTGAACTTTGAGAAGCTTATTTCAGCCTGTACTCCTTTTTCATAACTCCACCAAATTTCCAGCAAATGCTAACTTTATTTACACTGATTCCTGAAGTCTGAATAACACCAAAATGCTCTAAGTCTAGAGAACAGAGAATTCTGAAACAGCGCAGGAGACTGAATTAACAATCATTTTCACACTTCATTTGCAAAATATAAGCAATTAATATTGCAAAGTTGCTATTCAATGAATAAATGAAGATGAAATCAATAAAAAATGCTTACACACATAAAAAAATTTGTGCACATATGCATATAGTCAGCTTCTGACATTAGAAATCCTTCTGGTCTGAGAGCCATAGCCTCCTAGGGATTGATTTAATGTTTAACGATAAGCAACCTGAATCAGTTCTGCAAGCAGAAATAGACTTGAAGTTGGGCAACTGTTTGCAATCAAAAACACTGCTCAAAATGTCTAGCTCAAATTAGGCCCAGCAGTGCTTGATATTCTCTTGCATGCCCTCCATACTCACATCAAACCAGGAAAAGACAAACAAGCATCCTCAGCAGGTACTGCAGAAAAGGAGGAGAAAACAGTAGCAGGAGGTATCTGGTGAGGCATGTTTCTGCTAGTATCTTTTAGAGCAAAAAAACACGTAGATGAACTCCTGAATACTATGATTAGTTTTGCATGTTTATCTCTGAAGAGAGAAAAAGAAAGAGCCCCACACTGACAGGAAGTGACAAGCAGCTTGCCCTACAGCTTGTAGTATGTGCATATTTGCATATGTACCAGAACACTCCACAGCTTTGCTCTGCATGCTCTCTTTAATTAGTTCACCATCCAGTTTCTTTTGCTTTGGCAAATTCTTTCTCCTTTTCTCCATTCTTACCCTTTCCTCCCTTTTGTTTTCTTTTTGTTTCTTCCTACAAATAACTGAATTTTAAGTCCTGTGCAATTCTCAGCTGCCTCTTCCCCTGCACCCCATAATGATTCCCATGCAGCAAACCCCTCGTTACTTCAGAACCTGATCTGAAGAGCTGCTCCCAGTGGTTTGTACTGATGTGCTCCAAGCCTAGATCCCAGCGCTGAGGCTCTCCTGGCACAGGCTTAAGAGGGGCCCAGACACTGTGCTTATTCCTCAGAAGTCCTTAATCTGGGGTACTTCCTGCCTGCTCATCTAGGTTTGTGGAAATGTACCACTGACAGCTCCTGCAAAGTGGCTGGGAGTAGCCTGGCAAGTAATTATTTGGGCTTCTCCTCCTGCTGTCATCTGCCTGAACTCCTCTGTGCGTGCTAAGCTGAGCTACTACCACAGAACCTAACACTGACTACTCAGGGGCATCTACTATAACTTGGTTCTTTCATACTGCTAAATTGCAGCAGATAATGATTTTAAAATTAAAATGTAGGAGAACATTTGAACAACCAAGCTGTATATTTGTTTTAGTGATCCCAAAACAGCTTCTATTAGCTTATAGCTTCTAACAGTCTATTCAGGAACTCTCCAGGGACCCAAGAATTTCTATTTTTGTCTCTCAGAGAATTTAAGATGTTAGTCTACGTGATGACTTGCATTAATAATTTTAACAATCACAAAATATTTGTGGGCTTTCAGAACTGCAGACTTTTTCACTCTCAACTGCTCTTTATATGCCTCATTTATTTGAAACAGACAACTTTAAAATTAGATGCATTTATTGAGCATTATCTGTGTGAAACACAGCCAAAACATTTTTGGATAGACACTAAGAATCTGTTTTAATGTACTAGCTTGCATTCATTCATAATCCCTCAGTGAAGTTTCCTCTCCCCAGCAACAACTTCACACACGCACACCTGATATAAGCAACAAGCATTTTTATCCTGTGCTGCAATCTGAAGTGAACTTCATTGGTGGCTTACATTTTCCAGGTCTTAGTTTCTCAAAATGCCTCACCAAGATAACGATGGTCACCAAATCTGCAATACTTAAAGGCTTGTTGATGAAAATACCTCTATACAGTTTAAAGTGTCATTCAGTTGATGACTTCACAGTCTGGGTTTAAAAAGGTAATACAAAGGCACACATTCTGCCAGACTACTATTTTTATTAACTTACAGCAAAATTAGAACACCAAAATCAACTACAAATTAAGGTGCCTTCAGTACTTCTGAAACCTTCTCCATATCCAATGTCTGCACCCTTGTGTTTGCAAATACATTTCACTGCATTTAGCTGCTGAGTACTTCTTCCTAACATGTGGTACAGAATCAACATCAAGCACTGAAAAATCCCTCCCATATATGGTAGAGTAATGAAAACCAAAGCTCTTCAAAACATTTTCTCTGTAGACAAAAATATCTCCTACAGGGTTCGCTGAGACAGACTGCCAAGCCTGCAGCCACAGGGAATGCTGGGTTAGAGCAGCCCAGTCCAAGTAGTACATCAGCTTTTTAAAGCTGCACATATACCAGGTCTGTTTGCTTTGCCATTTGAACAACTACTTTCACTAAACTGAAGAGAAAATTTATCTGATTGAGTAATTAATGGTAATCCCACTTTGAAACAAAATAGTGGCAAATTCACAGTAACCAAAAATCTCCAATTTTGTCATACAAAAATTTCTATTATAAAGCAGTGAAATAGCAAAAAATAAATAAATAAATAAATAAAAAAAATAAAAAAAAATTAAGGAACTTCTGCATTCCTTTCATGCCCTAAGACAGGTGACTGTGCCAAACATCCTCAGTCTCAGCCGCTCTCCTCCTTAGTGAGCAATGCTTCACCAACAGATGTATAAGAAGTTCACTTCTATGTCCTACTCACGGGAGTTTTTCTTACAGTCAAGAAGTAACATACATCAATAGAACTGATATGAAATGCTGCTTTTTTTTTTGCCAATACTTCCTTTTAGTACAGCTTGCAATGTGCACATCCGTAAGATGAAAAATGTTTTCACTACTTAAGAGCACAGTAAAGTCCAGCTTACAGCCATGATATCTTTAAGAAACTATGCAAGATTTCAAGTATACTTGGGTCTTTAAGTGGGTTTTCAAGTATCCTATGTGGTAGAAGAGTCAATCCAATAGATGTCATTCAGACATATAGTTGATTAAAATCTTTATGTCTGTTCCTCTTCAGAGTTTCAGACTAACTTGAGAAATTTTAGTATAGCGCAGAACAAAACCACCCTTCAGAGCTGCAGTAACACAAACTGGTAATTTTCATCTCTGACACAAGCCACACTTTTCAAAAGTAGAAGCTATAAAATGACATCTATTATGTTTTAACCCATATGATTACAGAGTACAGTGTAATCACACTCAGATGATGCTTAGCTGACTTACTTCTGAAATTACAGTTCTGTGTAGCAAGCAGTACTTCACTACTGCATTTATTATACAGACTGACATGTTTAGGAAGGAAATCTCATTAAAAAAAAATGCAAAATGGTAAGACAAATTTCCATAAATGAAATCCTTATCAAGACTTGGTGCTACTCCCTCTCCATCACCCTCAGGTCTGCAAAAGATTTCAGAACAAAAAAAAATACCCCACCTCAGCTGAGAAACTTTGCTTCTCCTAATTAAAATAGTTGCAAATATAGCAGTTTCATCACAAGACAAAATTAAAATGTATTACACAATTATTTTAACTTTGTCTTAAAAAAATCATTATGAAAACCTCATGAATTCCAATCACTGCCTGAGAGAATCAGAAGCCAGGAAGCTCTTCAATACAGGAGCCTAGGAAATAACAGCAAACTATAGCATGGTAACATTAATCCCTTGGACTTAGAGCATGCAGATGAAACATCTGCACTGGCATCACAGGCAGCTCAGGACTTCTAGTCCCAAGCATGAGATTTTCCTTATTTAAATTGTCAGTGCAGCACTGTGATCAACAATAAAAGTAATTGGTCTGCAGAGAATGAGTATTTCTTTTCCTGTGCCACAGTTAATATGCAAAGCAGACAGTTTACCTGTAGAGGGTAAAGAAGTGACTGCAGCTGTAAATTTTACACCTGACATGAGGATTTCACTGGTCTGCTTACTGGAGTGCTGCTCCCACTTCTAGCAAAACCATTAGAATTATCTACTGACTTAAATGATTCAGGAACAAGTCAGGATTATTTTACAGATCGTAACATATATACTGCTGAGTAATTTGTGTGGTCAGTAGATCTATCAATGAAACTTGAGAAAAAACGTAAATCTTTAAGTACAAAATAGTTATTCTCATCTGATTATGCAAAAGCAGCCAATGCAAGATAGTGTTTATGTCTTTTAATTTACTGACAATAAAGAATGGAAACAAAACATTTTTAAGGCATGATAGGAAAATGTGATACTTTAGCATCAATTTTCCACAGCCTTTATGTCCCAACACTACATACATTTGCAGAAAAGCATATGTATACAAAACTGAAAGAAGTAACATAAGCACAGAAAGCTAAACATGCATGCATGTTTTATATATCCATATATATCCATCCATACAAAACCAAGTATGTAAATTTCATATATGGAATAGAAATCCATGTAAACAGACATACTACTAAAATACTTTGCTTTGTCTAAATTCAATACCAACTAAGACGTAATTTGCTCATGAACTTTTAAATAAATCTGGGATTTTCTTTGCCTTCTGAACAACATATACAAGTAAAGAACAATCTCACATAAGCAGCGTACCTGTGTTCATTCTGACACTGACGGATTTGCTATAAAAGTCTTCAGATTTCCTGCGAAGAATAAAATGATCTATTAATTTGTACAAGACATGAATATGTGGCACAAAATGGCAGTACAACTTCTCAGGGAAGTGGAGAATCAACACGATATAAACAACAGTCCTATTTTAATGTGGCTTTAATTAAATTGGCACTGCATGTTCTTCCAAAGTTAAAGATGAGCTGGTGCTTCCATTATAAGCTACTCTATTTGTAAGTGTTTAGTATCTCTCTGGTAAACATTTGCTCTGGGTTAAAAATGTAGTAATTGATTTTTGGTCCTGAAACTATAAACTAAAGAAGACCAGTTTAAGAACATGTTTAAAGTCTGCTTATGTCTTATTCACTCTTCTGCGTGAGGAAAGATACAAAGCATAGGCCTCGTAAGATTTTTTTGAAGCAAACAAAGTTATTAGATCTTTCCTCATATGTTTCCAAGAAGGAGATGTGTCTGTTTTCATCCAGTGATTTATCACTTCTCTACAGACAACACAACATTCTTAATGCTGCCCACTGCATTGCTTTGCACTGTAGAATATGTTTTGGCATCCACAGAAATCCATTTCAGTTGACCCACTGGAGTCAACAGACAGGAAATGAAGTTGTTATATATTTGGTTTCCAAGCTCAGCAATGTGCTTTTTAAATGTAGTAATGTGCATGAAAATAATGTATGTAGAAGCTGTAGCACTTATTTAGGCATCTCGACTCCATACAGTACTTACAAACTAACAAGAGCAGAAAAAAGCAATGAGAAAACCCACAACTGCAGAAAAAACAGGACACTCTACATTAACAGGCCACTTCAACCTACTGGTATAAGTCACAGCACCAACTGGAACAGTATTTTCCATCTCAGTTTATGACAGTTTATGTTTCAAATTAATCTGAGGATCAGGAACTTTAATAACTCTTCTCTCTCTCAGTCTCTTTACAGTACTGCAGCAGCACAAAAAGATGACAAAGAGAAATGCAGAACTGGTTTCAAAGAATACCCCATTCTTACCACAGATAAGAGCCACAGAGCCTGCTGTGTACTCAGCAGTCTCAACTGTGTTTTACATACATGCTGCCCACTATAATTTACTTCAGTGATTGAGAAACACTGAAGGACAAAAACGTATGAGCTGAAAACAATTATTCTCCCTGTGCACTGTCCCCATCGAGTTCAGAGTAAAGCAAATAGAAAATCATAGTAAAAAAAAATAGAGAAGGTAAACAACTCGATGTTGGAACAGGGACCCTTTCTTTAATGGAAGACTTGAGATAACTAATATTTAATAAAATTTAACAGTGACAGAAAATCAAAATAGAATTTGAGCTCAGCTCAACAGGTGGACTGAATTACCTGTACCTCTGAACTGACAATAAAAATGTTCTCTTGTATTCATAATGAAGCCAGATTCTACTCTGCTTGAAAAACTTACTGGTAAGCGATTCTTCATGCTAAAGTATGTGAAGAAACTGTCTGAACTCTGCTGCTATTATCCAAAGACAGTTTTTGACAGAAAGCATGTATGATAAAAAAAAAAAAATAATTAAAAAAAAATTTTTTTAAACCTTAATACTTAAATACTATGGAAACAGTTATCTGGCAATGAATGAAGTTTAAATCACATTCTGTTCTGCAGCTATCAGAAAATGATCTGAAAATTTCTAGAAGAGCTTTAAAAATTAAGGCAAATGATCTCTTTTTTAAATCTTTTTTTGGATAAATAATCTTTGACTAACACTTTGGATTTACATAACAGCAGCAGAATATTTTTAAAGCCCCGATTTCTTACAACGTTTTTGGGCTGCTAGAAGAGATACCATTTTCAAGCCTTCTTTTAGCCTGGAACTGAATCACTGATGGTACTTGCAAACAAGCAGTGAAATGCAACATGATATTTATTTTCAGACCCAACCAGTACAGAACTCTTGGAAGACTGTGATGCCAAAATGATTTTTAGCAGGTGGCTTTGATATATTTATAGTGAAGATTGCTTAACTCTTACTGAAGTTCTAACACACTACCCTCAGTTTTAGCACTTAACCTTTGTCCTCTTTAGACTTTTTCTATCCTGATTACACTGCATGACTGACTCACAGTGAAGGATTCCAATACAAATCATTCACATTTCCACATTAATCTAAATTTCCTATAGAAAGAAAAACGCACAACTTTGTATACCCGAAAAGTATGCATTCAAAGAAGGTCATATCAATTGAACTGACACAAACAGCAGGCCTTGCAGTTTAACTAACTGCTACTGCTCACTTAAAATTATTTGGAATTTTCTGTTGGTAGAGAGGTAAAGGATTGCCCAAATACTTAATGGTACTGGCAGTAGGATTCAAATGAGCACAGAGAAATTAACAGTCAGATATACAAAGGCAATGGACTATAAAAATAAAAATTTGCCTTAAAGAACATGAAGATTCTTACTTCAAGAAATTGGTGGAGAAGGGGAAGCAAAGGGATTTGTTTTGCATTACAGTTCCTACTTTGCCTCCTGAAAATTGTTTGGAGTACATGGGCTTGCAGAAAGCTTTAATCTGAGTGATGTAATGACTATTCCTCTGGAAATATCAGACAGTCTTCACTACCAAAAGGATGTCTCACAATCAGCTTACATATTCAGCTCTTGGATGCTAAATCGAAGGAATGCCCATAAATATAGTGCAGACACGAAGTACTACTGGAACACATCAGCTTGCAAAATCAACAACTGTTGATTTAGTCATCAAGGTCAGGTAGGTCTTCTACAAAATTCATACCTAATCCTAGATGATAAGATAAAGGAACACCAAGTTAGCCAGAGTAGCACGGGGAAATTTTCCACTGAGAAAAGTTGTGCATGCTCCACCCCTGGAGGTGTTCAAGTTTGAAAGGGGCAGTGGGCAGCCTGATCCAGTATCTTAGTATTTGGCAACCGTGCCTGCAGCAAGCAGATTGACACTAGATGATCCTGGAGGTCCTTTCCAACCCAAGCCATTCTATGAAAGGGTTAACGCACAGAAATGGGTTAACTTGAGTACAGTTAACTTGAATACAGCTGCAGTTACCACTGCTTTAGTTTCAATAAAGACGTAAGATACATTGCTGTATTATTTCTTGATAAGACCTTATTTCTTGATAACACCACAAAGATTATTTCAGCTCAGCAATACTTTGCACTGTGAAAGGTTACTAAGAACACTATTAGGAATCTCACTGACACCAGCTCTGTTCTCCCCAAGAGACCTTGCAGCTAGTTGTGATTGCTTCTGTTCCTGATAAGTTATGAAGTGTGGGGTTCTGCGGGGAGCCATTCTGTCACACCCCTTCTGTTCCACATTTCTGTGCAGCTATAAAAAGAGTTAGTGAGAAGTTAAGAAAAGTTTCTCCACCTTCAAGAGCACAAGATGCATCTCTACTGTTTGAGGCTCAATTCCATTGTTGATATTAGAGCACTTACAGGTGCAAATGTATCACCCAACCAAGCATCAGCTAACCAAATGTGAGCATAGGCTTTCTGAATCAAAGTCTAAATGAGCAGTAACATGTTATTATCTGCTTGCACCTCATCCAAAGAATTAAGATCATCTTTGTTAGTACCCTTAATCTGTAACTAGGTAAAGACAGAGAACATTAAAATTCAGAATATCCTTTGATAACAAAAAGGAGAAGATACTCTTTTGGAAATACGTAGAAACCCTGAAAAATGTCATTACAGCTAAATTCTTAGCTTAATGATTTGTACATTCTTAAATGCCACTTGTAAGTATCAGCTCAAACTCATCCAGCTTATAGGTATCTTTCATGATCTGTCTCTGGCTCTGTGGCCTGGAGTGCAGAAAATTTTGAAATGCTAGATTACTCATCTGTGTAGATAACCAGCAAGCAAACTCCAAGAAATGAGTTGTTTTCTTTCACAGTTTTTGAAAGACTGGTGAAGAGCAAGGTGGTAATTTGCTTTGTTTGGTATATTTTGAATCAAAGCATTCAGACTATTGCTATTTCATTTCCAAAAGAAACTGGCAACGTCCAAATAAACTGTGTCTGAAAATACTGCTGATGAATTCTACTTAATAGCCTGAATGAGACTCAAAGAGAAAATACTATCATACACACAACTTCCCTTTCCCAAAAGCAGCAGATCTTAGTTATATTTCAGCTTCTTGGTTCAGAGTACTATGATAAATTGTTAGTTTCATTGGCTAGAATCAACTAAACAACTTCCTCTAGTTTGCTAGGGATTAGGGATAAAATTAGGGATTAAAACTTGAAGACATTCCAACTGTGCACAGTATCAGTACAAGTAAATTAAGTAGGTATTTAACTTTCAATGTAAGCCCAGTTCCCCTGTAGTAAAACCCCCACAAACTACTTAAAGCACTGAGGAGATTTCATCTTGAAAACCACAAGCAGTTCTAGTTCCCATGATCAAGAGATCAAAGAGATCACATACAGGAGAATTCATCTCAGGAGTGTATGGCTAACCATTCTTTATAAACACATCAAGTGGACATAACTGGAGGAAGCAGAGGAACAATGTTGGCACAAGTACTGCTACAAACTATTTGTCTTAAACATAAGTTTGAAAATCAGAGTGTGGTTTCTACTCACAGAAGCCATTAAGGTCTGAAACATTTATCACAACTGCTGTGGTCACAATCAAGAGCCTGAATTTGGCAAATGTATGAAGAAAAAGTCTGAAGGAAAGAGAATAAATTTGATAGCACATCACTTTCCAGGCATTTCACTGTTTTCCCAATGTAATTTTTCCTCTGAGAATGCTACAAATGCAAGATAAGGAAGAAGTGGTATGGTATTCTTTTCTTTTCCATATTTCTTCATAAAATAGGAAGAAAATCAAGTGAATATTTGATGACAGAGAAGAAGTAATGAAACTATAGAGAAAAACTACATGTTTCTAATCTGAAAGTTCCTTACAGCAATTTTTGTTGTTGCATAAATTGGGGGGAAAATTCACAATTGCATTTTAAATTGGTATCAAGTTAGAGGTAATTAGAATATAAACTTGCACA